CTTAATGTATAAATAAAATTAAGTATAATTCAAGGGAGTAGATTAAAAAGATTTAAAGAGGATATTATTATGAAACGAATAATTGAAATTCTCTCAACCAGGCCCTACCTTTAGCTTTCATCTTCGTATAAAAAACTTATTTTCTATATTCTTTTTTCATTTAGTGGAAATCACAATGAACTAAGTAAAAATAATTTTGAAAAGTTAATAAGAAAAATTGAAATATATAAATTAATATTCAGCGAGTAATTAATATAATATTATTATTGTTTCTCGTTTAAGAAAAAAAATTAATTAAAAACTTATTCTAATTATTGATTATATAAGAAAAGCTAAATTAATAAATATATTTGAAAAATTTTTTTTAATTATGAAAAATAGACTAAAGATAAATTAAAGGCAATAAATATGAAAAAATGAAGTATAAAACTTATGCTATATTTTTATTTTTGAAAGATATATTTTATATTTGATTTATTTTTTTTATATATAAAATCATTGATTTTAAGAAATTTTATATTCGATTCGTTATATTTATTGTCTGAAATTGAACTATAATTGTAATCATAAATTTTATAAATACACTGATTAATTTTACTTGCCTTTTTGTTGAATGGGGGAAATAAAATTTATATTCTATTTGGGATATTTAATGTTTAAAATTGAGCTATTTTTGTATTTATTTCTATATTTCGAAATTCAAAATATAAAAAGTGTATTTATTTATTTAAATTTTCTAAAGTCTATTCATAACTTATAATATATACAAAGTAAAATAAAAAGGTATTTTAAAATTAAAAATATTATCGAACATAAATTAAGTTAAATGAAAAGAATAAATTACAAATAATTTATCAATAAATTGAAATAAAGATGGTTGATATCATTCTTAAGTATTAAAAATTAAAATTAAATTATAAAATAAAAATAAATAAATTAGGATCTATAAAAACTTATTCTAGAATTATTTATTTAAAAATCAAATAAATGAATTTAATATAATATTGAAATAATGTAAATTAGGATTATTTCAAAAATTATTGTCTATAATTTTCAAGGCTGTTCAAATGTGTTTATCCTGAGAAATTTATCTTAACTATTTATTGAAAATAATTTGTCAATCGTGCAAAAAAATATTTTCTTTTAGATTTAAAGTTTAAGAAATAAAAAAATTAAATTTTTATGATTATATACATCAATTTATACTTATCATCAACATAAATCTTACAATTCCATGGTTGTTTCCATTTATTGTGATTATTTATCAAATTTATCTTTAATATGTATAGCATGCATATTCCAATCGATTTTGCATAATGTATAAATAAATAAACTTGATAATAAAAGATTACATATTCCAAAACCTAACCAAATTCCAATTAATCCTAAATCAAAAATATTTGTTAATATTAAAATGAGTGGAATACCCACAAAATATGCAGAATATAAAGTGTAATTTGATACTAACTTTCCTTCATCAAGACCTTTAAGTGCTCCACTTAATGCTATTTATAACCCATCTATAATCACACTCCCAAATAAAAAAAATGGCAAAGTTTTCAATAGTATATGCTAGACTATTTAATCATTAGTATAGAAGTGAGCCCATTCAAGATGGTAAAAATAGAAAATCATCATAATGACCACCAAAATGCTGAAATATAATATTATACCATATTTAATATAATTTTTAGCATTAATAATATTTCCTTAACTAATTTAATTGCCAACATAAGTCATTAAAGCAATTGATAAACAAAAAGGCAATCTAAAGTATAGAGATGATGTGTTGGATAGAGCTAATTAAGCATTGGTGGCATCAATACCTAAAGAAATAGCAGTAAATGATAATATAATAAATATTCCTGTATTTAAATAGATATGAACTATGATTGATATAGTATTTTTAAGGTATTCTTAATAAATATGAAAATGAGATTGCAACAGTAATTTGAATTAAAATGATTTAAATTTTATTTACAGGTCTTCTTATTGCCTGACATAAATTAGTAAAAAAAGGATGTTTGTTGACTCAGAGATAATGGTAGCAATACAAACTCCATAGGTTCCAAAATTAGAGACTAGTAGCCAACACCAAAATGTATGAAATGCCAAGGTAACTAAATGAATAATCATGAATGGTCTAAAAACTTCACATGATATCAAATAACTTTTTAAACTTTCAAATATTAATAATGTTAATGAGGTCAATGATAATGGAATAATGAGTTCCCTATGTATTATATATAATAAATAATTACCATGCAATATTTATGGTTTCTTCTCTGTTTTCAACGATCAAATAACTAAAAGGAGTTTTAAGACATAAAATCACTATGAGAAGTGGAATAAATATCAGGACTTAGGAAGAAAGTGTAAAATTTAAATAAATAAGTGAAAGTTTATTTTTTCCTAATCCAATCGCTTAAGAAGCCATGGTGTTTAATGCTTGATTAAGACCTTTATAATTAATTAATATAATACCTATTCCAAAAGGTAGTAACAAAATTGTGATGATCATCCAAGAAATTCCAAATGCAGCAACACTGATTTTAGATGTATATAGATTAAGAAAGTGCAAATTAATAGACATCATCAATTCAACACAAATATAACCTAAAGACAACTAGATCATACATGAGGAAATATCTATGAGGATTTGTTACCAAGAACGTGTTTAGGATTGCTTAGTTTACATATTTAAAATATATTTAAGAAAGTATTTATTTATATCTTTAATTTCCTAAGAGGATTTAAAAGGAAAATGAATTTAATTAATAAAAAGGATGGGGGGAGTAAATAAAATAATGATGCATAATTAAATACACTATTAATAATCAATTATAAATATGTATCTAAATTTAAATTTAAACAAAATCATTGTGTAAAAATTTAATGGTAATCTTCCTATAGAGGATAGCGGAGAGAGTTATAATTAATTATTGTAACAGAAAAGTTATTAAATGAATCAAATAAATCATATTTTATCAATATTATGCATAACTTTTTTTTACATGTAAGCAACTCCATACTTTGTAGAAGTAAACATCTTACCTACATTTTCATTATATTATTGAACTGTAGAATGTAGATGTTTTTTTGATTATTATTGTTATTGATGTTTTTCAGCAGATTTATGATAAATTTGGTTACGAGAGTTATCTGTATTGTCAATGATTTATTTGATAGCTTATCGACAATGCTCAATATCTTGGGTATCATTGTGTTTAGGAATATAAGTTTTGGGAGGGAGAGACTTATTCTTAGATTATTAATTCATAAATTATTTTTCAACTATTCAATGAGTCCAATATTTCGTTTATATAATGCCATCATGTCAATCATAAATTAATTTAGATACACTGCTTCCAATTTTAGTTCTTTGCCACACAAAAAACAATCATTTGAATAACCTTTTCTACATGCCTTACAATAAGAATGAGCACAGGGTATTAAAGTCACTGGATCTTTTAATTCTTTTCCACAATATTTACATTCTAAATGTCTTTTTAAATCTAGACATAAACTTTATATTTCATTAACATAAATTAGATGATTAGCTGGTTAATTAGCTTGTTTTTCCATAATGATAAGTTTCTCAGATAATTAATTTATCTTTGATTTTAATTCTTTTATTATCAACTCTTATTAATTTGAGAGATATTATTAATAAGCTGCCTCATCATTCTATTAATATCTTTTAATATTGATTTTAAGATCATCAATTTAATTTTTAAGTTCAACATTTAGATTCTTCAACTAAGCATTCTCATTTATAAGTTATTAAAGAAGTGATTCTTATTTAGAATATGTTATTTTAAGGTTTTCATGTTCAGTTTTTAATTTATCATAATCTTTCTAATTGAATTGTAAATCCCTCTCAATTAATTATGATTATAATGCAGATCTTAATACTGGAAGACTATTACGATTATTAGTCCTTGATTAAAGATAAGGCTTCTTCTAATTAATTAGTTGTATATTAGGAGATGATTATTATTTGAGTTATTTTACATTTACATTAAGATTAAATGATTATTACATATTATTCAAAGAAGTAGGTTTTTCTATTATGTCTTCATAATTGATGTAGGATTTATGTTTCTTCATACTGTAATTATTTTTAACAGTTAATTTTTTTAAAATGACGGAAGAAATAGAGTCACACATAATGCAGAAGTATGAAGTATTACAGAAAATGGGTAAAGGAGCGTATGGAGTAGTTTGGAAAGCTATAGATCGAAAAACAAAATAAATAGTTGCACTTAAAAAAGTATTTGATGCATTTCATAATGCTACTGATGCATAACGCACATTTCGAGAGGTAATGTTTTTACAAGAGATGTGTCACGAGAATGTAATAAGAATGACTAGTATTCATCGGGCTGATAATAATAAAGATCTGTATATAGTATTTGATTTTATGGAAACAGATCTACATGCTGTAATAAGAGGTGGAATACTAGAAGAAATTCATTAGAGGTACTCTTTTATATTAAAATATTAGATATATTATCTATTAAATATTAAAAGCATTAAAATATATTCATTCAGCTGAAATAATTCATAGAGATCTTAAACCTTCAAATGTACTACTTGATGCAGAGTGCAATGTTAAGGTTGCTGATTTTGGATTAGCTAGAAGTCTTTTAAATCAAGTTGATGAAAATGCTATTCTAACAGAATATGTAGCAACTCGTTGGTACAGAGCACCTGAAATTCTACTTGGATCTACTTAATATACTAAAGCTGTTGATATGTGGTCTGTTGGTTGTATTTTAGGAGAAATGATTAATGGAAAACCTATATTTCCAGGAAGTTCAACACTTAATTAAATTGAAAGAATTCTTGAAGTTATAGGTAGGCCTTCTTCATCAGAATTAGAAAGTGTATAAGCACCTTTAGCTTCCTAAATTGTTAATAATATTCCTAAAGGTTAAAGAATAGGATTTACTAATTATTTTACTAAGGCAACTCCTTAAGCATTAGATTTAATTCGGAAATTATTGTCATTTAATCCTTCTTAAAGAATTACTGTTGAAGAAGCTTTGAGACATCCATATGTGGGGGCTTTTCATCATGATAATTAAGAAATCATTACTAATCCTATTATTATATCTATGGATGATAACAAAAAATTTAGTATTAAAGAATATAGAGAAGCTTTATATATTGAAATTAGTAAAAAATATGAAATCAAATAAGAAAATAAATTAGAAAACTCATTTAAAAATATTGAATCAAATCAATAAGAACGAAAGAGAACTTAAAGCTTTTAATAATAAGCATCAAAAAAATCTACTCCTCCGATTAATTCTACTCTTCCTAGTGAATAACCTATTATTAAATAACAAGATACTAATACTTAACATGTTTCATAAAATTATCTTAAAGAATATTTATCAAATTGTAGTAAAGATTATTTAGGATTATAATAATAATAGAATAATACTAATATAAGTAAAGAATTTATTAGTGGATAATTATGTAAAGAAATGAATAAAGAAAACTAAAAGTCTAAAAATATAGTTGATATTTCAATAAATAAAATGGAACGTGATAATTCCATTTCTAAAAAATAAATTATATCTCCTTGGACTTAACCTAATCAAAAACCTTAAATTATAACATAATAATAAAGACCTCCTTCTGTTAGTGTTTATACTACATTAAATTAAGCTTCTTCAAATCAATTAAAATCTTAAGTCCCCCAATAAAATAACAATAATAATAATGTTGCTGTCCCATAAAAAAGAATTAGTACTAAAATGCCAACTAGCGGAACAAGCAATTCTTTTTATATTCCCTCTGATAAAAATAATAATAGTATTAATTATGGCAAAAAAATCTCCAAAGATAATAGTTTCTTAGGTGATCATAATCTATCTACGTAATCAAATATTCCATAACCATAGTAATAAATGCATTAAAAAAGTATCCAATTTTATTTATATATTTTAGCTATGAGCATGAATTATTAAACATATTTAATGCAAAAAGGTATTTCAGATTAAAGAAGTAAATAAACTTTAGTTAATCATCAAAGGACTTAATCTTAATTAGGTGCCAATAATAGCGTATTGATCAATCGATGTAAAGAATTCCTTTAGAACATGTAGGCAATCAAAAAATGAATTAAATTTTCAAATACATCACTATTATTTTTCTTGTGAAATTAAATTAAATAATAAATCAAAATTTTGAATTATTATAATTTATAATTATAACAATACAATCATCCTTTTAATAAGAACAGGATAATCAATTCAATAAATTTCGCATGCACATCTACATTTCAAATGTTATTCTTTATTTTCAATATACTTTGATACTAAATATATATCACATAAATTTGTTCCCTCAATTGCATCTCGAAAGGCTATTCTCTTTCCTTTCACACCTTTTATTATAGGATGATTAAATTTATCTAATCTTAAACGATTTCTCCTTATTATTTTTTTATTATTATCTATTATACTTACATCAGTTTAATTTTAGGTGTCCAATTGTTCATTCATTATTTAAATATTAATAATAAATTAATCTTATATATAAATTCACTACTGAATATTTTTTGATTCTCTTTGCATCTATTCTAAATATTAAACTCCTTTTTACTAAACATAATTTTAACATTTAATGATATTCAAAGGGATGCTTCCTTTTTAGAATTCAATTCAAAAAAAATTATACGGCTAAAAATAATTACAATATTTATTTTTAATTAAATTAGCAAATGAAAATAGGTTTTGAATACATTAAGAATCTGTAGACATTCCTTATCAATATAACAGATTAAATTTTAAGTAAAAAGATTGATTTCAATTAAGCTGAACTCAAACTCATTAAAAAATTAGAAAATAATTTTCAAATTTTACCAAGCAAAAAGTATTTTCAATTATCAATTTTTATTTACTCTCATCTCAAAATAATCATATACTTAATTTACCAAATTAAAAAACTTTATTGAATAAAGAAAAATTTTAAGTCTTTTTTAAATCAAATTAATTTAAAGTTTTATTTATACCTATCTCTAAACTTTTTTTTAAAAAGAAAGAATTTCAATATAAAAAATAAAGTATTTATAATATTATATAACTCTATTATAATCAATAATTTAAATCACAATAGTTATCTCATTATCTCAGCAAACTCGTTATAATTTACCTATTAAATATGAATGGATATGNAAATAAACTTTAGTTAATCATCAAAGGACTTAATCTTAATTAGGTGCCAATAATAGCGTATTGATCAATCGATGTAAAGAATTCCTTTAGAACATGTAGGCAATCAAAAAATGAATTAAATTTTCAAATACATCACTATTATTTTTCTTGTGAAATTAAATTAAATAATAAATCAAAATTTTGAATTATTATAATTTATAATTATAACAATACAATCATCCTTTTAATAAGAACAGGATAATCAATTCAATAAATTTCGCATGCACATCTACATTTCAAATGTTATTCTTTATTTTCAATATACTTTGATACTAAATATATATCACATAAATTTGTTCCCTCAATTGCATCTCGAAAGGCTATTCTCTTTCCTTTCACACCTTTTATTATAGGATGATTAAATTTATCTAATCTTAAACGATTTCTCCTTATTATTTTTTTATTATTATCTATTATACTTACATCAGTTTAATTTTAGGTGTCCAATTGTTCATTCATTATTTAAATATTAATAATAAATTAATCTTATATATAAATTCACTACTGAATATTTTTTGATTCTCTTTGCATCTATTCTAAATATTAAACTCCTTTTTACTAAACATAATTTTAACATTTAATGATATTCAAAGGGATGCTTCCTTTTTAGAATTCAATTCAAAAAAAATTATACGGCTAAAAATAATTACAATATTTATTTTTAATTAAATTAGCAAATGAAAATAGGTTTTGAATACATTAAGAATCTGTAGACATTCCTTATCAATATAACAGATTAAATTTTAAGTAAAAAGATTGATTTCAATTAAGCTGAACTCAAACTCATTAAAAAATTAGAAAATAATTTTCAAATTTTACCAAGCAAAAAGTATTTTCAATTATCAATTTTTATTTACTCTCATCTCAAAATAATCATATACTTAATTTACCAAATTAAAAAACTTTATTGAATAAAGAAAAATTTTAAGTCTTTTTTAAATCAAATTAATTTAAAGTTTTATTTATACCTATCTCTAAACTTTTTTTTAAAAAGAAAGAATTTCAATATAAAAAATAAAGTATTTATAATATTATATAACTCTATTATAATCAATAATTTAAATCACAATAGTTATCTCATTATCTCAGCAAACTCGTTATAATTTACCTATTAAATATGAATGGATATGATACCTTATGTTAGCCTTTAATTTCATCTAAAGTTTAAACGAACAATTGTTGATTTATATCTATATGTTTTTTAATACTATGGCATGTAATATATCCTCTTTAATTTTATAAATATTTAAAACATGTTTCTAAATATGTTTAAGATAGTAAATCTTCGAGATTTAATGCTCCTGAGATAAATTCTTTAATATCAATCGATCCTTTATTAGTTGTGTCTAATTTTTAGAAAACTTGTTGTATATCAACACTGATGTTTTCATATTCAACAATAGATTTATATAATGGAAGAATATCTTCTTTTTTGAGTAATCCATCTTAATCAATATCTGCATCAATGAATATTTTTTCTAAAATACATTCTTCTTCTTAATTAAATTTGTTAAGCATGAAAGCTAAAATTATAACATGAAAATAATTTCTTGGTTTACACTTTGATAAAAAATACAAAGGTTTCATTAAAACTTCAGTAAAATTATTTCTTTAATCATTTTTGGACAAATATTTTTTAATATCCTCCATTGTTATTTTTTCAGTTGTCTTTTTGTCTAACATTTTGATCAAAATTCTTTTTAAAGTAGGAGAAGTTCCTTCTTTAAAATACAATAAAAGCTCATTTGAATTATTATTATCTTATAATTTATTATTTTTTATCTAATAAGGCTTTTATCCATTTAATAATTAATAACCAATTAAACCTAATGCATAAATATCTTCTTAATAATCCTCATATGATGGCTCTATCATTACATATTCATTTCCATAAAATAAACATGTTACATCAACCAATTTACAAAATAAACTATTTAAATCACTCAACAAATGAAAACTATCTAAAGAAAGCCTTCTATGAACAAACTTTTTCTAATGTAAATAAGAAATAGCATTCACCATTTAATTTAAAAGGATCATTACTTAATTATCATTTAAATTTTTCTTTAAAGAACTTAAACTTCCACCGCTACAATAATCAGATAGAAGATAATATTTTTCTGTATCTTCATATATATTTGTTATTGGACAAATATATTCATTTTACTAATATTAAATATTTAAATACCAATCTGTTTTTCTAAATTTTCATTATCAATTTCTCACTTGAAGTATCTAATTTATTGATTGTTTCTACTCTTTTTTTAATTCCACTAACATTATGTTAGATTAATTTTATTTAATTGTCTTCTTATTTTTCTAAATAAGAATCTGATTTGCTTCCTAATAAGGTATAAACTCTGAAAAGCCCAGATCTTATTTAGATTTGTTATTTCTAATTATCATAAGCTTTTTTTGTAGATCGATTTGAAATAAATGATTCATTTACTGTGTCAGATTATGTTGTCTTCGCTAAAATTGGTGTCAATGTTTAAGCTTTCTATTATCTTCTTTCTATTCTATTTTTATCATTTTGTGCTTAAGTAGTTACAACCATTTCTTATTAATTTTTAGATTTCTTTTTAGTATTGCAAGAACCCATAACGAATATTTATATTATTATTATTATCGAGTGTTATTTTATTTATAATTAGTAAAATAAGTTATGCGTTATTTTAAGTTGTAATTTGTTTAATTAAATACTTATAATTAATTTCTTCAATATTCATTAAGATACAATCACTATTTTTTCAAAGAATTAGAAGTTTTAAATGTTTTTAATTAAGTCTATGAAAGTATTTTCAAATCAAAAAAATATATTAAGATCATTTAACAATTGTGAATTTAAAATGACATAGATGTGACCCTTACTTAATAAATAATAAAAAACTCTTTGTTTGTTTAACCATTAAAAATCTTTCATACATAGTAATAATAAATATATAAATAAATAGTAATTCATTTCAAAAGTAACATCTATTCTTTGAATTCATTAAGTGTTATCTAATTTAAATATATTATATTACCTATCCATTAAATGATACTTTCTCTAAATCCTTGTGTAATTCATTTTAATCCACAAAGAATTTGCGACTTATTGACTTCCCACTTAATAAACCATTTTAATTTTTTAAAAAATTAAAGCTATTTTCTAAATAATCTTCTGTTAATAAATTTTCTCTATTGCATAGAGCAATTAAAAATTCATTTTAAGATATCTATCCCCCATTACATTTTTTAATTTCATCATTAAATTCTTATGGAGCCATTATAAATTCAACTTTATTTATATCAGTTCTCTCACAAGCTTGTTTTAATTCATCTTTATTCAAATATTTATTATTATATTAGTCTAAACTTTAAAATAACTTTTTGTGAATTTTTGATTCTTAAGGTTAAAATTTTGTTATCATGTAAATTAAAATTGCTGTTTAAAAATAATTGATTTGAGGATTATTTTAAATCTTATCCAAAATTTAATAAATCAGTTTTTTATTATTAAGGACACTGATTAATTTATTTTAAGTAAGTTATTAGATGGAAATTCTCTTTGAACTATCTAATTATAGCATTGATTTTAATAATTTCATAATCTTTGGATCATTTTAATTTTCCAATTTTGGTAATGGATTCGAAATTTGTTAACTATTAATAATTTTTAATTTTGATGGTAATTTATGAGTTAATAATTAATAGAATATCATACCAATTGAAAAAATATCAGTTTTTATTGAGGGATTTTCAAAAGGAGGCTAGTACCTCTTATATAATTCTAGCTCATCAGCTTCCTTTTATTATTGCAAATTTATATTTTATTGAAATATTGTTCTAACATCTGTTAACTTAACATTATAACTTTCATTATTGACTAAAGAAAAAGAATCAATTGTTAATTTGCCATGATATTAATTATTTGAATTCAATTAATTCAAAACTGATACTAATTATGACATGATGTATAAGATTTAAGATTAATCTAATTTCTATAAATTCGATAATTTGCTTCCTTTACAATACTCTTAAATCAGGTAGATAGTTTTATTTTCATTAAATATTTCAATAAATTAACATATATTAACATTATCCTAAAATAATAGAAAAAACTACATTTTAATTTAATTATATTGATTTAATAAAGTAATTATCTTAAATGTTTTTAGGATCAAGACAATAGACTAAAACCAATACAGCTGTTTTGTTATGTTGACATAATAAAGTTTTATCATCTTCTGATGGTTTATGATCAATTTTTACAATTTGTTGTAATTACAGAATAAGTTTTAAAAAAACCAGTTTTAAATTCAAGCGACTTCTATATATCTGATACAATATTCAGATTATGCATGAAACTTTGAGGTGTTGGAGGATCAATATCATCTTTAACAAAATTATTATTCTGTAATAAATTTATTGAAGGAACAGCAGTTCTAGTTTATTTTGTCAGTTGAGTCTCTGATTATTTAGTGTTGGCTAATTAAATCCAAAACATTTTTACTATGCTCATTTTAATTAATCACAAATTGAGATTATTAAATTGGTTTTTTATTCTAATTGGAAGAACATAATCCCATACCTTTAAATTTTATATATAGAAAATAAATTAATTAAATTAGAATATTAAACAATTTTTTTAAGTGAATATTTTTTGCTTTCTTTTCTACTTTTTCTGATATTAATCTATATTAAAAGTAATTTCTTCAACTGATTATTATTCTATTTCTAAAATTTGTCCTGTTAGCAATTAATAAAAAATAATCTTTAACTCTTACGTTAAAATTTCTTCTTTTTATTATTATTTATAATATCTAAATAAATAGATTAAAATATTGAGTTAATATCTAATAATTTTACATAAAGATTGTTTTATATCTGAATACTTAAAAAAAAAGATAAATTTAATTATGAATGTAATTGAAATTATAAATGTTGCTTATTATTAATTTAAAGGTTATTTTTTGATTAAAGTAGATAAAGAGCCTCATTTACTATATTTATAAACTAAGATAGATTGAGTTCTTTTCTTTATAAGTTTTAATGATTAAACAAATATTTAAGCATTTCTAAAAAAAATAACAATTAAACTGAATTGCATAATAGAGTTTTTTACAAAAATTTTAATAACGAATATCATCAATTTTCAAAAGAATAAATTTAGCTATTTGTTCAATAATATTATGTTAATAAATAAGATAGAACCAAGTTTTATTTTGATACTTTAAGGATTAATATTTCTTAAATAACCCTATTTGGTAATCATAAAATGTGATATAATTTATAGAATGATTAAAGGTTATTAAAATTGATGGAGTTTAATTCCATTTAAATTATTATCTTTTTTGCTATCAATAAAAGTTTTTCTTAAGAGATTATTTTTTATGTATAACAAATTTGAATATTGCAATATTGTATTTTTATATTTAAGCATGTTTAATTTTTCTTCTATATAAATATCTATATTTTTAATATATTAAAGAGAAACGTATAGAAATAAAATAATATTTTAAAATGAAAGTAATTAAATTATATATAAAACTATTTTTTACACATATTTATAAATCACTCGTCTAATTAACAAATTGCTACTTCATAACATAATTCATAATTCTTCATCATTTTTTCTTTATGTTTGATCCAAACTTAAGATAATAATATATAATAAATACTTCGATATTCTTCTTTAGTTTTAGAACATTAGATTAATGAGATTAAAGCAAGCAGAATTTCAGCAATAACAAAAAGTATAAGCACAACTAAAAATTACATTGCCATTAAAGATCCAATATCATCAGTTCCACCACCAAAAATTAAATTACATGTATCTTTTATTGCAGTATAATTTAAGACAATTAATAATGATATAATTCCTCTACATAGAACACATACAGTTGACATAATCATAAAATATGTCATTATTTTACCTGATTTCTAAATAATGGATATTATTAAATACCTATGAAACACTAAAGAAACCTAATAAACAAGTAAAAATTCTCAATAAATGAACAACAATCAATGCATTTAATAAATTCATTAGAGTAAAGTCTTAATCATTTAAAGGTACTCTTGTATCTTCATAAAATATTAATGATTTCTAGGCTTCTATATTAATAGGTCCAATCAAATTATATATGGTTAATATCTAATTACTTAATGCTTTTACTTACTAAATTCACACTATTTACATTTAAAAATATATATTTCCTTCTTTCAAATCTAAATTCTCCTTTTATTAATCTTGTCATAACTTTTTCATTTGGAATTTTTTAATCTTATTCTTCATTTTAAATTAAAGGTTCTTCCATATATTTAAAATAAAATAAATAATAAAAATTAGTATAAAATTCTTTTATAATTCAGACAAGTTCTATCATAGTCCTCGAAAAAACTTTAAAAGTGATTCTCTTATTTTTAGTAATTGAAGCAAACATTTCATCTGTTTATTTTTAATTAACTTAGAAACATTACATAAATCTCTTTTTACGTATAGAACCTTTCCCATTTGATAATTATTTAAAAATCACTTTCAAATTTGGAGTGGTGATTAAAGCTTGTCTATCAACAATACATCTAATAAATTCATTACAATCTATTGTACCATTATGATCAGTATCAATAGCTTTAAATATTACATCAACCTATTATTATGCTTATTCTTTTGATCTTAGTTATTAATACAAAAGATCATATATTTCTATCTTACTTAATTTAGCATCCCCATTTTAATCATATTTATTAAACATTTAATAAATTTCATTCTATTAATTTTAGCAAAGTTAACTAACTAAAAATTATAAAAATAATGATTATATAAGATTAGCTGGTTTAATATTGGCCAAAGCATTTACTGATTATTTGCTAATTTAATTAGTTTGAGAAACTAATTTTCTATATAATGGAGATTTTATAATAGAATTAAGATTAGATCTTGTTGATGGGTTATATTCAAGTAATTTATTTAGCAGATCCTTTGATCTTGAAGATATTTTATCAAATTGTAATTCTGTCATTTATATTATACCCTTTTTTATTTCTGATTTTAATTTACTTACTTATGTAGATGAATATGGCAAATTACCAGTTAAAAGCTTATAAAATATAATACCTATAGACCAAACATCTCTAGCTATTGAATATTCTTAATCATTATCTATTATTTCTGGAGCAAAAAATAGTAACTGTTCAAATGTTATCTAAGGTTTTATAAAGATTTGTTTTATATCTGTTAATTTTATATAATAGTTTTCTGATTCATCAGTTCTTTAAAAACTATTAAATGTTAAATGACCATGATTTAATCCTTTCACATGAAGATAATTCATAGATTCAATCATTTAAACTAAAATTTTTAATGCGATATTTTCTTATATTCCCTAACCCTGTCTGTAATTTATGTTACATAATTTTCCTCCACTACAATAATCTTGAATAATATGAATATTATTATCGTCCTAAAAGATTTCATGTATTTAAGTAATATTGGGATGAGACTAAAATTCTTTATATTAAAAATACTAAAGTATTTGCTAATAAATTATCCATGTATTTTCTTGTGTATTTATCACCCAATGGTAGTGTTTCAATTGTTCTAATCCTCCCAGTAAGATTATTTTGTACAATTTATAAATTTTCATTCTGGTATTTACCTTGAAAAGAAATTTATTAATCTTTGTTGCCATTAGAAACAACAGAATAAACTTTAGACAATTTGCATGTTTAAATCAGGATGAAATTTTGGATATTTAGAGTTTTATCAGTTTTCATAAATTTCTCTCTCTTCTTTTTTTCTTTATCTGATTCTTGAGTCTAAATCGATTAATTTTTAGAATGCAAAGCTTGTAATAACATTTGTCTTTTTTAAGCATTTTCTTAGTTAACCTTTTTCAGTTTCTATGTACATGATCCCATTCTTGATTTATTAATTTATTGATAGCAATATGATAAAAAAAGAATGATATGAATTTAAAATTCTTAATATTTGTTCTTTAGAAAGAAAAAAATTGCTTTTAACATTTCTATCAAAATAAGTTAGTTAATTTTTTTAATAATTACATTAATTATTCATTCATAATTTTTATTAATATTTTTAGATGATAAATAAATTAATATTCCCATATCAATCTTTTATAGCTGTAGCAAAATTAATTCATAAATCTATGTTAAAATAATAATTCATAAACTTAGAAAAACTATTTAAACAAAACTATTTTGAACCTCAAATTAGAGAGCGCGATAGTAAATAAATTAATAAACTTTCTATAAAAATTATTTATCAACTGATATCTAATACTATACCAAATGGTAAAATAGAAACTTATTTAAATATGACAGAATTCAATCATTTTTGAAGATACAAAATATTAATATTTTCAAATTCAAATGGGGTTTAGAAAATTTATCAAATTTTATTTTATTTTTATTTGCTTGTTAATTTGTGGATAAAATAACATAAAATTTTTTGAAAAAATGTTATATAAATTTTGAGTACACATATAAATAGAAAAGACAAATAAAAGCAATTCGATTATCAAAATAATTTGATGGATAATTTATTTTTATTTTTAAAATAATATTTATATCATTTTATTATTGGGATAATGCATAGCTGTTTCAAAGGCGAGTTAAGAAAATAATTCAAAATAAATTTAGGCAAAATTGAAAAATCTGATCCCATCTGCTTCTGCTCAAGTTTCATCTAAAAATAAAATTAAAAACCCTTGTGTTCTAAAAAAAAGTTGCTACAAATTTCTAATTGTCCTTAATAATTATTTAAATTATTAAAAATTGCAATAACCTAACATTATTCAATTATACATGAAAAAATGCTTAGCAAAAATCATATTTATAAAAATAGGTTTAATTAATACAAACTAGTTTTTGTATAGAATAATTTGAATTGTAAAATTCGTATATTTGGTAAATTGCCAAAATACATCAATCAATTATTAATTTAAAATTTAATATTATTTCAATTAAAATTCTAGAATCATCATGAAATTTATGAAGATTTTGATACATCTAAAATAATTTTTGAAAATTATATTATACTGGGGGAATTTTAGATCTAAAAAATAATGGAATTGGTATGTCAAAGGAATTAGTTGGCATAATGATTAGATAAATAATTGATATTGTTAATTATTTGCATTAACATAAATTAAATAGTTTTGCATTAAATGATTAAAAGGATTAAAAAACAATTAAATTAATTGATATAAAAAGAATTTTTATAAAAGCACCATTAACAATATAAAATGCTTCCTATTTAGCATTAGAAAGATTTTGTGAATATGATATGAAAGGTAAACAAAGAGATATTTGGTTTCTTATCATTCAAAGGAAAAAGTGTCTAAAAAATATAAAAAGATTTAAAAAAGGGTTTTTTGATATGTCATCATTGTAAAATGATAAATTCTCTTATGAAGCCAAAGAATTTTTATCAAATATTTTAGTTTTAAACTCATTTAATAGAATGGATTTAGTAACTTTAAATAAAACTATTGGATAATTAAATATAAAAAGAAATTCGAGAACAAAGTCAAAACAGATTTGTAAAATATGAGAAAACTAAAAAAAAGTTGAGTTTATTGCAATATTGCGTACTTTAATATATGGCAACCTAATACTTTAATACATAATCTTCTAATATTATTTAAGCATTTAATGATATTGATACGAATAAGGATGGAAAAATAACTTTATATGAATTAATGAATGCATATTAAAAATTTTATGAAAATTATAAAGATACATTTTCAGTTTAATAGGAAATCATTTCTTACTGAAAATAATCTTAAAGTTACTTTTAGAATATTATCTAATCGAAAAGGTTATATAACTATAGTAAAATAAATTTTTATCGTGGATTTACTAAAAGTATTTTTTACTATAGAAATAATTTGTTTTAGTAATTTAACATAAAAGAGGAATTAATTGAATCAGAATTCACTAAGTTATAAAATAAAATGTAAATTATAAATGTAAAATTAGTTATCTTTTATAGACATTAAGCTCTTAATGGCTGAAATTATATGATGACATTATATTGTATATTTTTATTTATTTAAAAATGTAAATAAGAACAATAGATAATTAAATTGTTACCATAAATTTAGAGGCTTTTCTGAAATATAGTAATCTTGTTTAATTTATTTCAGGTACATATTATGAATTAGGTTTTAGAATGTGAATAAACAATTAATATTATAGATATGGAAATTTAAAGTCACATTTTGATTAANTAATTATTTGCATTAACATAAATTAAATAGTTTTGCATTAAATGATTAAAAGGATTAAAAAACAATTAAATTAATTGATATAAAAAGAATTTTTATAAAAGCACCATTAACAATATAAAATGCTTCCTATTTAGCATTAGAAAGATTTTGTGAATATGATATGAAAGGTAAACAAAGAGATATTTGGTTTCTTATCATTCAAAGGAAAAAGTGTCTAAAAAATATAAAAAGATTTAAAAAAGGGTTTTTTGATATGTCATCATTGTAAAATGATAAATTCTCTTATGAAGCCAAAGAATTTTTATCAAATATTTTAGTTTTAAACTCATTTAATAGAATGGATTTAGTAACTTTAAATAAAACTATTGGATAATTAAATATAAAAAGAAATTCGAGAACAAAGTCAAAACAGATTTGTAAAATATGAGAAAACTAAAAAAAAGTTGAGTTTATTGCAATATTGCGTACTTTAATATATGGCAACCTAATACTTTAATACATAATCTTCTAATATTATTTAAGCATTTAATGATATTGATACGAATAAGGATGGAAAAATAACTTTATATGAATTAATGAATGCATATTAAAAATTTTATGAAAATTATAAAGATACATTTTCAGTTTAATAGGAAATCATTTCTTACTGAAAATAATCTTAAAGTTACTTTTAGAATATTATCTAATCGAAAAGGTTATATAACTATAGTAAAATAAATTTTTATCGTGGATTTACTAAAAGTATTTTTTACTATAGAAATAATTTGTTTTAGTAATTTAACATAAAAGAGGAATTAATTGAATCAGAATTCACTAAGTTATAAAATAAAATGTAAATTATAAATGTAAAATTAGTTATCTTTTATAGACATTAAGCTCTTAATGGCTGAAATTATATGATGACATTATATTGTATATTTTTATTTATTTAAAAATGTAAATAAGAACAATAGATAATTAAATTGTTACCATAAATTTAGAGGCTTTTCTGAAATATAGTAATCTTGTTTAATTTATTTCAGGTACATATTATGAATTAGGTTTTAGAATGTGAATAAACAATTAATATTATAGATATGGAAATTTAAAGTCACATTTTGATTAAGATTAATCAATTTTTAATAGATATGTTAACAGAAAGTCCATCAATTATTCCAAAACCCATTCCAAGTAAAAATTTAGATAGTTTTCTTAATCCTGTAGAATCTAAATTTTTAAAATCTTTACAATAATAAAATTTAGAAAGACAATTGATAAGAAAAGCTGCTGATTATTTAGGGATTGAAATACTCATAAATTTAATGTAAGTATCGTTTGCAATATTATTTATGGGATTAACACCTATCTAATTTATTGAAAGGAATTAATTAAAAGTGAATTATACAAAGGAATTATAAAATAATATTGATTAAATATTTAATCAAATCATTATTAAATGAAATATATTATATATGTTATTAGATAAAACTTAAATGTATATAATTATAAAATTAATGCTGTTTTTAATTAGACATGGTGAAAGAGCAGATGATAGTACAAATGCAGAAAAGCAACGTATTATATTATCATTTGATCCACATTTATCTTAGAATGGAGAAACACAGGCAAAAAAGACAGGAAAATATATAAGAAATATTTTGAAATTAGTATAGATTTATTAAAATTTGAAAGCATTCAATAAATAAGATTGTTTTAGTAACATCACCTTATTTAAGATGTATATAAACAGTAATTGGAATAGCAAATTAATTAGAATAAGAAATAGAAATTTATATTGCAAAAGGGTTAGGAGAATGTTTTAGATAAGATTGGTTTGAATAAGATATATTGAAAGAATTACATTATTATAAAGGTTCATAAATCTATTAGCATATTTTTTAATAATATTCATTTTTGGATGTTCCTTATTAAGAAGTGATTCAATAATACCCTGAATCAATTTAAGAATTTTTTGGAAGGTTTTCAGAAAATTATAAAAGAATGAGAGAACATTTTACAAATAATAATATATTAGTTGTGACTCATGGTTATGGAGTACATGCAGTAAATATGTTAGAAAAATAAATAATTTCAAATAATGCAGATTATTGCAGTGTGAATGTGATACAATATTAAAAAGATAATGTAGACTATTTACTATTAAATAGTACAGCCCATTTAAAGAAATCAAAATTGTGAATTAATAAAGTTTAAAATTATTATAATAATTTATAAAATTAATAAATTATTATAATTTGTTAAATAAATTGTTCATTAATTGATTGTTTCATCTTAAGATTACATAGATAACACCACATAATCCAATAAGAATGAATCTAAACAAAATTTATTAGGTTATCTATATTTCTATATAATCTTCTTCAACTAACTATTTTATTTATACAATTCTTCATTAGTTTTATCAATCAATAATTGCATTAGGATCTAACAATTATTATAAATCATATAATTATTATCTATAATTTGAGTAGATCTTTTGTTTAGCTTAAATATTTTATTCAGGATATTTCTTATAATCTCAAACATTAATACTTTTTTATCTTTTGATTATTTTCTCAAAGCTTCATTTAACTTATCTAATAAACTTTCTATATCTGTGATCAAATCTTTTATTTCAACATCTAATTTTATGGTCTCAACATTTCTCTAAACATTCACATATTTAGTTTTCTATTCTATTTTAGATCTCAGTTGAAATATTAATGTATGGATTGAATCCTTTAAACTTGTAAATACATCACCACCCTTTTTTTCTAATAAAAATTCTCATATTTTATACAAGCTCCTGCTGTTCCTCCTAATTCTTTATCAATATTCATTAATTTATCTAAATAAAATTAAATATGAAAAGATGCTGCCATGACCAAATTAAATTATAAATTTTATTATATAAATTAAATAGTTTTTAAATTCTTATAATTATCTTTCCAATCATATTTTTTTAGAAATTTATCAAACTAAAGAAAATTATCTCAGAGAATATTATTATTCAATTTACAAAATTAAAAACAAATAATATATTATTTATCTTATATTCTATATTTCAAACAAAACAAAAATAATTAAATATATATTACTTTATAGACTATGAACCAATTTCACAGAAAGCATGATATATATTATACAATTTCATCATAAATACATTATATTTGAAGAGATCTAAAAAACAAAATATTTAAATGATCTTAATATTATAATTACCATTAACTAATTATATTAATATCATGTGATCTCATCTATCTAGTATTTAAAAATTAATTAATTATTTTTGAAGACATCTCTTATAGATATTCAACTGAATATTTTAGATTAATATAACTAATACTTATGATTAATTAAGGAAAAATATTTTTAATTATTATCAAACAGATACATTAATTCAAAAGTTAAATAGAATAATTTTATATGAAATTTCACAATAAACAACTAGAAGGGATAATTTGACTAATGGTTCTTTTAAAATTTAATTTTATTGAAGTTTTTTAATTGTCTTATTTATTTATAATTATATAAATATAGTATATGAATTCATATAGAAATATTAAATAATTAGGCAAATATTCACAAAAAATTATTTTAAGTAATAATGAAAAATTTACTTAAAATAATGTTTAATTTATATACAGACATTTATACTAGGACCTGTCATTGTAATTTTATCAGATACAGATACGATAACTCATTAACTAATTAATTATTTGATTAAATATTTAAAAAATTAGGATGTAGATACTTTAAAAAATTTTTAAATTCAATTCTGATATTAATCATCATTTTGTTCCTATAAGCATAATGGACAATAAAAAAGTTATTTATTCAAGTCATCTCTCATAATTACAAAAAATTAACAATGTTAATTTCTACACTTTTTCAATTTTTTTTATTTCTAAATATTCTATTTAAGTTAATTAATTTAATTAATAATTAACTTCTCCTTTAAGATGTCTACAGCTCTATCTTTTTAAAAAGAAAAGAGTTTTAAATTTATTGGTATGGAACATATACATTTATATTTAAAGCAATCCTTTTATTATGATTAATTTTTTAATAATTCCTTCAAACAATCATTACAATAGAAATGTTAACATTATAATTAGGTATATTTTTATTAGACCTCTTTTTAACAATATTAACATATAACCTATTTAGTTTTTGTCTTAGATTAAATATTTAATTCATTACAACTTTCATAATTAGTAAATATATCTGTTTCATTGAAACTTTAGAAACTTTAAATACTGTTTCTTAATAGATTAGTTTCTTTAATTTTTCTAGAATCATTATTTATAGTCTGATTATTTTATTAAAATGATGATTATGTAAATTATTCCTAATCTATATAATGAATGTCTTCATTTGGTTTGAAAGCAAATTAATTATTTTATTGATATTGGTATTAATTCTAAGGTTACTGAAATTCTAAACTATGTTAATAGATATTGTAAGAATTCTGATTTCGATAAGCATTTTATTAATCTAATTCTTAAAATTAATTTTAATCATGCTATAATTATAAATTAAATTTTTAATTATCTTATTAGGGTTAGTTTATTTGGTTCAATATTTTAATTTTATTTTAATTATTGTTAATAGAATTTTAATCTTAAAATCTTATCATTGGCTACCCATCAAAAGAAAATTGCTATTAATTATATTAAACAGAGGGAGGATCATAATTTTAATTTTTTTAAATTGATTTTCCATTTTAATATGAACTTTATGAATTATCATCTTGCCTTAGATTTGATTCTTGTTTTCTCTTTAATTATTCATAATTGAGACTAGTCTATTGATTTATAGAAGTTTATTCTTAAAGATATTATTGAAATTGTTGTAAATTTGTGACTTCTTAATTATCATGTTCTATATAAATATTTGATTGTTATTAATTACTAGACTTTTGAAAATCAGTATTGTTTTATTAATTTAAATTTCTTCTAATATTTGATTATTGGAAGAAATTGATACTTATTGTTTGATCAGTTTTTATCATCTATGATTTTTATTCTTCATTATTACTTTTTCTTTAATAATAGTTTTAATTCTATTATTATTCATTATCTTAATCATAGCTTTATATTAAATATATAATTACTTATTTTCATTGGAATATTAAGGCTACTATAAAATTTTTGGTTAATTATTTAAATGATTATCATTCTTTATTGATGTTGGATCTTTTTGTTGATTTTTAAGATTATTTTTTTTGATTGTTTCTTAATATTGTTGATCATCATCTTCATCATCATCATCATCACCTTTCTTATTTTTTGAACAAGTTGAGGCTATTTTTTTAATAAAATTAGTTATCATTTATTTTATTATTAATATTAATAAGATGTAAAGTTTAAATTGATCATTGGACCGCAACACCTAGTTATTCATTGATTTCATTTTGCTATTTTGTAAAGAGAACAAAAATATTCTCAAGAGAGCTAGAATTAATATTAATTTAGAATACCTCTTAGAAATAGAAAAGTCTTATATAATTTATTATTATTTTAATTGATTAAGCAATTTAAAAGTAGAATAGAAACTGATAATTTGAATATTGATTGTAAGATAATATTTTCTAATTTCTTTAATTTAAGTAAAATTATTAAATTATTTAGTTAAAATATCTAAAATATCTTTTTCTGAATAATTTTAATTAAATAAGATAGATATATAATAGCCATCAGAATATTTTCTAATTTAATATAATAAAGTATACTATTTTAAATAATTAGGTTCACCATAACATATAAATTATCCTGCAATTAAGATTCCAAGAGTATCACTTAGATTCTCAGCTTCATCTATAACTTATGTTGTTAAAATAACAGAACATTTTCTAATAGATACATTTTACTTTAAAGTTTTAAACAAAGTTCTTCTAGATATAGGATCAACTCCTGTTGTTGGTTCATCAAAGAATGTTATATCACTACCACCTATTAAAGCTAATGCTACACATAATTTTCTTTTATTCCCTCCACTAAGTTATCCAGCTCTAGTATTTCTAAAATTGTATAATTCAGCATTTTATAAAAAATATAAAACAGCTTCATCTTAATATTTACCTGACAATCCTCTTAATTTACTAAATACATTTAAATGTTCTTTTACAGTAAGATTTTCCCATATACAATCATATTATGGACATATTCCTATATGTAACTAATCAGGATATTTAATATTAATTATTCCATAAGTAGTTTTATTAATATTTGTTAAAACATTTATTAAAGATGATTTACCTGCACCATTTGGTCCAATTATTCCCATTATTTATCCTTCTTTTAATCCAAAAGATATATTATTTAAAGCAAATTGTTATTATTTCTAATATTTCTTATAGATCTATTAAGCTTGAATAATATCATCAGTGCCATTAAATATTCTTTATTATTCATTTAAAACATCATCATCTAATTATGTATCTTAAGTAAATGATTTGATTTTTTAATTTCTTTAGATTCTTTTCCATTCTAAATAGTAGACTAGCATAGAATATTATAAAAATTAATAAATGAGCATAATAACATACCAGTAACTATGATATGTAATAAGACGTAATCCTCCTAATTCAGCTTTAAGACCTTTATTTAAATGAGGCATACAAGCATAAGCAAAATAATAATTATAAAATGGACATGTTATCTTAAATATGTAATAAATAATATACCATAAAGAGTACTTAAAAGATATATACTAATATTTCAAAGGATTGAATAGAATCTATATGATAAATAAAATTAGTCAAACCCAAAAGTACCATAGGTAAACAAAAGCAATAAAAGAAAATGGATAAAACAAATAATTTCATAGCTTTTGCTACATCATTAAAAAGAAAACTACATAAATAAATACAAGTAATGTAGCTTAATCCAAAACATAAATAAATAAGGATAGTTTACCACCAGAAATCTGTTATTGCTTCAAGACTTAATATTGCACCCATAATTAATAAAAAGACTATGATAATGAAGTAAACAATAAAATCAAATAGAAATGTACCTAACCAATATCCAATAATCCTACATCCAGAACAAATCATAACTTCTTTTAATTAACATTCTTTTTCTAGAACTGGTAATGTTACATATAAACTTGAATTAAATGAAAATCCAATCACTCCTACACATGCTAATATGGAAATCTTTAAAAATAATTAAGCATCATCATTTCTTGATAATCTTCCAGAAAATTAAACATATTTAGCTACTAATAATCCTAATAAAATAGTCAAAATAGGCATTAAAAATGCCAAAATATTTGTATTAGTTCTTATTGTAGTATAAAATCTACGTTAAAACATGGCTAAACATTAACTATATAAACTATATTTAGGTTTATCTTTAACACTTGCAGGTACATTTTCTATGAATTATTAATAACCTTCTTCAGCATTTTGAATCATTTATAAACTCATTGATCTTCTTGAATTTGATTTACTTAATTCTAATTATTCTTGTTCTCCAATTTTAACAAATGCTTCTTCTAAAGTATTCAATCTTAAATCAATTTCAATTCCTTATTCTTCTAATTTTTAACAAATATTTTCAAGTTTATCTTAATATTCAAATGAAATTTAAAAAGTTAATTATGATTTATGACATTATTCAGATACAATCTTTGCTTAAGATAGAATTTCAGAGACATCTTAATATTTAATAGATTCTTTTCTTAATTAAATAGTATATCCTTCTCCAAACGTTTTCTTAATAAAATTACAAGTTCCTTCTGCTAACAATTCTCCTCTTTACATAATACCAATTCTATCAGCTAACATTTCTGCTTCATCTAAATGATGAGTTGTTAATATTATAGTTCTCTATTCTTATTTAATCTTTTATAAAATATTCCATATAGATCTTCTTGAAAATGCATCCATTCCAGATGTTGGTTCATCTAAAAATATTATTTTAGAATTCCCTATTAAAGATATTGCCAAACTTAATTTTCTTAAACTACCTTTTGATAATGTCTAAACTATTTTATTTTATTCATTTTTTAATTCTGTTTTATCTAAAATATTATCTAACTCGCTTTCTTCAGAATTCTTGATATCAGAAAAGAATTTTAAATGTTCCCTTTCAAAATATAATAATAATAATACCTAACAGTCAAATATTCATAAAGACAATCTTATTAAGTACATAAACCAATATGATTTCTAATTTATTTCAATTAATTGTCAAAATTCATTTAATACATTTAAATTCTTCCTTTACTTTTAGCTATTAATCCTGTCAACATTGAAATAGTTGTAGTCTTACCAGCACCATTATGTCCAAGTAAACAAAAGATTTGCTTTTCATAAAGTCGGAAAGTAAGATTATTAACTACATTCTTATTATTAAATTATTTCGTAAGATTATCTACATAAATAGTAGGTTCTAAATCTTCTTAAATAGTTTCATAATATAATGCTGATGTAGCATCTTTTTGTGTTTCTAATAATAGACATTCTCCATTCTTAGCATTCTCTTTTTAATTTATCCCTAATAGAAATAATGGATGTTTAGATATTCCATAATCATTTGGTATTACTTAATCAAAATAAAGAGCCAAAATCAAATATAATAACATAGTAACAATTAATTGATATCCTGCATCTTACAAATTGTAAGTTTCATTTATCAATATAACTGGAAATATATTCATTGGTTATTTTAATAAAGGATCAAACCAAGCTACATTAGCACCTACTCTATTAACTCCTATTTATAAGGCTGTTATGTATTCAAATCCTATATTGCATTATGGACTCAAGAAGCCTACTACAATATAGAATGAAATAGACCTTAATTATTATATTTAAAATATACGTAGCAGCCTATTCTATAAAAGTTAAAAATATTAAAAAGCTAAAACCTACACAAAAAAATGTTGCTACTTCTCCTGCTATTCTAGATTCATTCATTAATGAAGCAAATAAAAATGATTAATTTATTGACTCTATTATAATAATTAATTTACTGCATATCCATATACTATATATGGCCACATTAGTTCAGAAAATGAATTTATATAATAAAAATCCCAATCCAATTAAACAATTAGATTGAATAATATTTATGAAAGGAAAAAGAATATCAAAGCTAGTGTCATTCTTAAATATCCTGTCAACAACCATCCCATTTTATATGACGATTAACTCAATCCCATAATCTATAAATTATAAATCTTTTACTTACTCCTTACAATTCCTTATACTTCTTACTCTTCTCTTCCACTAAATGCACCATTATTGATCTTGCTGTTGGTAATATTGCAAAACTATACAATATTGGTAAGATTTAATTAAGTGAACTCAATTGTTCTATATTATACATATTCATAATACCTTTCAATGATAACATACAAGCCACAAATATTGGAATAGTAATGTCAGAATATAGTTCTCCATTTCTAAAACTCATTTTCAAATTCTTAATTAACATTGCCTTAATCTATTTACTCATTTAATTTTATTAATTTATTTAACGAATAATATAAAAAAAACTATTTCTACCTTCTCATACATATTAAATCATACCAAATCTATTTCTAAACCACAATTATTATTCCTATACCATATAAATATATTTTAATCTTACTTTTTAAGTAATACTTCTCTATTAATTTACATCCTTATTCAATCTTAATTTAATTTCCATTATTGTCTTCATAGCTTATTCAATATATTACTACAATCACTAAAATTAATACATTATTCTTCTTATTTTTAATAAAAAATTACATTTCTATATTTAAAAAAATATGATCTCTCAAATTTTACAATCAGAAAATTAAATCACTATCAATTAATTAAATTCAAATAATGAAGATCAAATAAATTATAATAACTCTCCAAATTATATTAATGATCAACTTTCAATACATAAGAAACAGTATTTATTCCTTAGAAGAACCAGGACATGAAAAAAAAGATTTAAAACAAATCCATATTAATTCTATTAGATCTTAAACATTCTTAAATTAATGTAAAATAATTAATTGATTTATATATTTATATATGTCAATTAAATGTCTACCTTACATCCTCAATCTCTTTTAAAAAACCATTCAATGATCTCTCCCAATTACCAAATTTCTTATTGATAATTTCAATTTTATCCATCGTTAATACTCTTGGCACTACATAAGAAATTGCAATAGTTTATTTTACCTAAAATAATAAACTATAATTATTACTTAATTAATTCTTCCTTTTACTAAACCCTTGCTGATTGTTCTCATAACCAATTTTTCAATATCTTATAAAGGTAACTCTGAAACTTATGCTAATTCTTCAAAAGTGCAAACCCTATTATTTTTTGGCAAAGAGAATGCTAATTCAAGAAAAGCCATGATTCTAATTTTTTCATTCAAAAGCTAGAAATTTGGAATGAGTCCTTTTCTCTCTTCATTCCATTAAAATGTATTTAATTCTCTCACACTTCCCCTATTGAAAATATCTAACAATTTATAAATCCAATTATATTAGACACTTTCCTTTAAGCTAACTAAAACTGGTTATTGTAATAATTCACTAAAATTATAAATATTTGGTGAAATCAATACTGCAAGTGCCATTTCATATGAAAGTTACACTTTTTATTCTTACAACATATCTTAATCATTTGTATATGCTAGATATTATAAGGCATTCACATAGAATTCTTCATAAACATTCTTTATTTTATAAAAGTTGTATGATAAATAGTATAGCATTGAATATACAAGAGGATCAACTTCTTATAATTTTTCACTTGCTTATTTGTATTATTTTAATAGTTCATCCACTTCTTATAGTTATCCCTATTATAATTTGAAGAATGCTATTAAAATATTAATGACTAATTAAGGCTACTAATCTAATTTAAATTATTTAAGAAAATCAATTCTGCTTTAAAAATCTCCATATTATTCTGCAGCTTTAATGAGGAAACGCATCAATTTCATTTCATCAATTTCTTGATAAAATTTCTTAACAAATCCTTCATAAAGATCCTTTAAGTGTGTTCCTTAATTTACTTATGGATCTTTAATATAGAGTAATAATTAATCACTCAATTATTTCCACAATTTAGATTCCTAATAAACTCTCATACTATCAATAATAGGTAAGAGATGTGGAAATGCAATTTAGTGTTAATTCAAAATACTCATTTTTATTTAATTTATTTAATAATATTTGAAAATAAAAAATCAGATTGGGATTGCTAAATTTTTTTAAACTTATTATATATTATGTATTATTGTAGCTTGATGAGAATTTGAATATAATCTTATTACAAATTGTAAACCTTCTTTACATTCCTTTAAGGTTGCACTCTTAGCAATAGCTCCTAATACATCCCATAATTTAATAACAACATCGGAATTCATAGTATTATGCATTTTAGTTAATAAATCGATCAATAAATCAATATTCCTAATTTAACATACTTACTTAGTATATAATATGTAAAATTAACCAGGACACTTAAATTATAGTAAATTTGTTATTGATTTAAGAATATATTTAGGATTAAACAAACTAGGAAATAAAATTAAGTTTATGCAATCACAATCCAAAATTAATTTAGATAAATAAATATCTATATCTGTTTCCCCTTAAATAGATTACATTAAACCAATTAATTCTTCCACATCATTGTAATAAAAACATTAAACAATCCTAATAATAAGAGACAATCTCATGTTTTGTTTATTGTGTATTTAATTCAGTTATTTTCGTAATATATTGTTAATAACCTAATTCTCAATTAATCGATTATTATATTCTTACACATATTAATCATGAAAAATCTATTATTAATTCCATAATTTTGATTAAGGTATTTACTTTATGCTGTATTGATTAATCTAAATAATCTAATTAATCAAATTTTTTATAAATTAATTCTATTACTCAGTTAATTGTCTTTTAATTGATCCCCATTCTTTTAATTTAGTAATATTGAATACAGTTTTAATCTACAAAATTGATACAGTTAATTTTAGAAATAATTACATTACATTAATTAAATATTAATCTTGATCACTAATTTTCAAATTTGGAAGTAAGGTGATAATTTCATAATATAATTCCAAAATTATATTATTGTCATTATTCATGCAATTCTATATGAAATTTGTGATGATATGATTATTATTTTATGATTTAAATATCAACTCATTGAAGCCTGGAATTGTTTTAATAATAGGAATAAGTTAAAAATGTTAATAAGGCATTTAATTATTTTCTTGTGCTGTTAAAATTTAAGAAAATCTATAATCTTCATTTGCACAACCAAGATCCCAAACAGTACATAAATTGGTAATCATTCTTTATAAATATTGATTACTATCATTAAATGGAGATTAACTTGGACTTTAAATTTTTATAGGTGAAGCTTTAGGTTATGCAATTTTAGTAATATGAGTTTCTTCTTCAATAGATGAATTCATCCATTTTTTAATTAGTTTTTATTCAAGATCTGCTATAATTTGATCCTTCTATTATAATTATTATGTTAAATGAGTTATAACTTATTTATTTTTGGCCTCATGCTAAAAAAGATCAAAATTTTCTGTAGCTTTCTATTTTAATTATTAAATCTATTTTTCTAATTCTTTTTATTTAATTGTGAATTATTGCAATTTTAAATTTACCAATTCATTTATTCTATTTTCAGCTGATGTTGCTATTTCTTAAGCTAATTTGTGAAATTTTGATTATTATTATGTTGTAGAGATATCTAATTCATTTGAAATAGATTAATTATGAGGAGTATTATGATTTACAGTTGGAGCATCTTGAATATCTCTTAAAGCAGTCAATAATAATCCCAATAATCCTAAATGTCGTGTATGTATTTATAGTTTATTTAATGATAAGATTTATCCATCTTCAGAAATCAAATCTTTAATTAGAGTCTTTAATTTAATATTTAATTTCTCATTTAAATGATGATCTTCAATGATTTCAGGATACTCACTAAATAAACTTTTAATAAAGTAAGTTACAGGTACTTTATCCCAAGAATCACAAATTAATTTAGTATTTGTATTTCTAGAACTATTTGTATGCATATGTTCATGTAAAAAATGTTTCTTTAAAAATTAATTCACTTCTTTATTTGTAATAATATAATCAATATATTATGCATCTTAAAACATTGATTGAGATCGATGAGTAATGAGAATGCTCTCTAATAATTATATATTTAAGTTTTACTATTAATTGGAGATTATGTAGATTGAGCACTAGGTGATCTCATATCTGAATGATTGGTTTAAACTTATAAAGGTTTAGATTCTTTTCGACGCAGAACTTCAGGATATTTGAATTTTGTATCATTTTCTTTTGTACTCATTGGACTTCTCTGATGGGTTTGATGTTAAGTTTTCCCTTTCAGAATACTATTATCAGAATGCTCTATTATTGTTATTTATTATTACTTCTTTGAAAAGCCTTATTCATAACTAACTGTTAAAATAATTAAAATATATATTATATAAAATTACCAAATACAAATCACCATACTTCATTCCTTTCCTTTTAATTCTAATTATTGTAAGAACCCTCTTGATTATAAAACAAAATTTTGCTAATTTAAAGATTTATTATATACTAAAAAGAAATATTCTAACTTTTTAATGACTTACCAATTTTCTAATGAATTTCAAACTCTCTTTCTCTTTTTTCTAATCAATAGTTTTATTAGCTATCTTTTGAAAATTTCTTATTAAATTAATAAATTAATATAAGAATCTTTTCATCACACAAACAAATCTCTAATAGTGTTATTTAAAGCATATACTAAAAATTATTGGATAAAAATATTTCTGATTGAAACAATATTTTACAACAATCAAATAAGATAAATGCTAAATAAATTCTATTTTGAAAGTACAGAATAAAGAAGACAAATTTTCTAATTTCTAAAAAGATAAGATTTTTTAATAAACTTATGTAAAAAGATTGGTTAGACTAAATTTTAAGGATGAGTATAGTGATTTTTAAAATTTGTTAAGAATCCAAAATCTCTCTGATCTGAATGATTAAAAAAAGTCAGAAATTAATAAATAAATAAGAAATCCGCGTTAAAAAATAAACTTAGCAAATATAGATTATTTAACAAACAAATAGAAGAATTTTAAAGAATCTTTATTATTTTACCACTTAAAATTAAAATAATGTATAAGTTAATTAATGAATGCTTTAATCGATTCTGAATAATGAATTAATATTTTTAATATTATTTTAAAGCAACAATTTATTCATTTCAGATTTAGTGTCTCTTCTTACAAATAAAAGGTTTATTACTTGATTTCTATAAATTTAAACTTAAAAAAAATTAGGTAAGAAATTGTTTACATTGAATATAAATATGTTATATATTTATTAATTAAAACCCATAAAAAAAGAAAATTGAATTTATTATTTAAGTAAATTAATTTAAATAAAAAAATTATTCATCACCGAGCTCAACCTATAACGTGCTAATTTTTCGCCTTTTACTAAAGATTACCGTGGGTTGGGCTCATACCGGTGACTTACATAAATTTTTAGAGGTCGAAAGACCCCCCACATTTGTATTTAATTAAACAAACGAAATATATATATCTATTATATTAAAATGATTTTTTAATTGATTTTAAGATTTGAATTGAATATATTTATTTAGGATTGTATTAAAAAATATATGATTCAAATAATTTATTATATATATTTTTAATATATATCATAATAATTCCAAATTCATTTCATCTTAAGACGATAAATATATATAAGAGTCTTATCTAGGCTCTTATTTTTTATACACTAACTTCAATTAGAGTGGTGGAAATTCTTAATTACAGTTGTTTTTAATGGCTGTAAACATCGTAGTCGAACTTTTAGAAACCATAAGTGATTGAATTTTAGATTTAGGTATAAAATGACAAGGATTAACATCACTTTTAATTTCTAAGATAACATGTAAATTTCTATTAGTGTGATTTTGAAGTTGAATCTATTTAACAGTATCAGAAATTCTAGGATTAATCACAGTAGCTGAATCATCACTATCAGCACTCCAAGCTTTTGATTATATAAAGTTTGCAGCTTAACAATTAGGATCTACAGAATAATTACTAATTTAAGTTCCTTTAACATATTATTATGGTAATGCTTCATTAGTATTTCCATTTGGCATATTATCACAAACATAAGTTTTATATATTTTTTCCTAGATTAAATATATATTATATTAATTACTTCCAATGTAAGTACTTTATGTAAATTACCTTCTTCTATTTGTTATTTAATTTCATCAAATCCTTCAGATCCTTCATCTATTTGAATTTCTTCTTTAGTGCAAGGATTGAATAGAAAATGTATTTTTCTGATTTTAGTAACATCAATAGTTTTTCCAATAATATAATCAAATTGAGGTTAAAATTCATTATGAATTTAAGAAATCTTATTACAATATTAATCTAGATATATTTTGGTTTCATCAGTTTCTTGTTTTCGAGGATATTAAGAGTAGAATCGTTTAGTATCAATGATATAAGTTTCAATGAAGGCTTTGAAAATTTCCTCCATATATTTCTATAAAAATAAAAAGAAATAATTACATATTGATAATTTACACACGGAAGTTTAGAGATATAATCAAAACAAGTATCACATTCAACACTAATCATTAATAATAATTTTAGAACTAGTAAACATTAGTTATCATTATTTTTAATAGCTCTATGAATACAGAAATAATCAAAAAGATTATTCTACCATCCCAATGGACTAGAAAATGTCCAATAATCTTCTTCTAAACTTATTAATCCATAAAGACCAAATTGTGGATATTCAATAAATTAATTATCATATACTTTAACTGTTTCCTTTTGTTTTGATGAAGGTATTCCAATTAGCCATTCTAATCTTTCTATTTAGAGATTATCTTCTATCAATAGAAAAGGCTTAGCTATTTATAAGTAAATCTTAAATTCATCAGAATCTACACTTCCTAATCCTCTCATTATACATCCTGCTATCATTTCAGAAAAATATCTATTATTATATGCAAATTTAACAATTATAGGACTCAATTCTTCAGTTTTGGTACTTTTAAGAGCTCTATCATAAAACTTAGGTAAATAGAGTAATTTCTTCTCTTAAAGTGTGAGTTAATGATTTTATTAAAGGAGTACACTTATTATTTACATTGGAATTTAACAATTGATTGGAAAGTATGCATTTCCCATTTAAGTCTTCTTTTCATATAATAATAATGGACTACTCTTATCTAGAATAAAATCGATCATATAAAGAATCATATCTTTTTATAAACAATACTAGATTTAGAGTTTACCTTCTTAAATAAAATCAAGCCAAAATTAGAAATATTAATCAAAACGAGTCCAATTCTTAGGAACCTAATCTTATAACATTAAAAACAATTAATCTAAACCTTCTTAAATTTTTTAAGTGATTTCACCTTGAATTTATATTGTTTGATTAAATAAAATAGACAACATCTTTCCAAAATATTTTCGAGTTCTAGACTCAGGACAAACTAATAAGAGATCTTATACTTTAGCTTGTTTACCAAAGTATATTAAATCAAGATAATTTGGATTAGGGTATTATTGAATCAATTATACAATCTTTGTGTTAAATTATTCCAAAATGGAATTCTCATAAGCACGAGCCAATAAATCATAATTGAATCGAATAAGAATTTCAATTATCACATTTGCATTATCACTATTTACAAAATCACTTATGTCTAAAATAAATTTCATAAATTCTTGATTGAAAAGATTTCTTTCTAATAAAAACTATTAATTATCACTATTAACTTTCTTTTAATATTTACTCGGAATATATTATTTGAATGAATTGTAATCAACTAATAACACATTATTAGATTAAATTGAATAATTTTCAAATTTGGATAACTATTCTTATAATTCTTCTTGAGTATTAAATTGTAATTGAATTTTATCTTTTTCAACTTTCTCATAAATTAACATATAAGCATTTTAAGAGTTTTCTCTAAAACCATTTCCCCAAACATCATTATCATTATAATCTAAATTTGATTAACCACCAAAACATTCATTCTCCATTTATTTCAATTTAAATTCCTTTATTTTATGATCATTAAATTCCAACCATTAATCTTGACTTTTTATATCAATATAACTAAAATAATGACCAACATCTGCTGTTCCCAAATGAACAACAATACCAACTAATTTATATTAAGTACATTAATCTTAATTAATAGTATATTATGCTAAATCCAAATTTATTGGAAATTCTAAACGAGAATTGATTTTTTCATTCATAAATGTATCTAAATTAAATACAATTCTTTATAAATGTAAAATCAAAACATTTGGTAATTAAGCTAACAATTACCTCTTATTTACATCCACTTTTTAATTACAATTTTCACATTTGAAATCTGAAATTATCTCTCCTTGTACAAATTTATCAAAACATTCCTAAAGATTCTTAAGGTTTTTTATGGGAACAGATAAATTATAAAATATTTCATCCTTATTTTTAATAGCTTTACAATTCTAGCATTCAATTTAAGTACAGGTTTTACCTCCAAAAACACCATCTAAGATATTTTTATAGATAGTATTTTTGAGAAGATTCTCCAATTTATCAAATATCATATTTAAAAATTCTTAAGCATCTTATTGAATAAAAATATTAACTGGTTCTCCTGCATAATCTTTAAAAGCAGCACAAAATTCTTAAGGATTATAATCAATACGATCAGATAATTCCAAATAACTAAACATCTATTATAATTGATGAAGAACATTATCATCAAATAAAAATCCTGTTTTACTTAATTACATATCAGGTTCTTTGCCATCTTCAGCTTATAAAATACCATATCTAAATGGAATAGTCATATAAAATTATTGAAGCATGGCATTCATGTAACAAATACATCTTAGATTTTTAATTCCACAATATCCAAAAGAACTTCTCATATCACTTGAAGGTATATAATTCCATCTATTGATAAGAGGAATCTTTTAACTCAACTACTGAAGATTTAAAAGAATATTCTCACAATTTATTTATTGATGTGATATTTAATAAAGTAATTTAAATGCGGCTTATCTACTTTCATTTGATTTACATTTAATTTCCTTTTCATCTTAAAGACTAAATAAACAATCATTAAATATAATATCATGAATTGGCTATTTAATGAATTTATACAATTTGGTCAATAAATTCAAAAGACCAATAAGTATTTTATCAACAACGGTAGATTTTGATCTAGTTTCAATACTTTTATGATTGATGAGATTATCAAGTACTTATTGGGTTAATTAGTAATAATCAATAAATTATTAAGAATCTTCACTTTCAAAGGCTATATCTATCAGTTAACTTAACAATTCATAAAACTATGATGAATTAGCTTGTTGATTTTATATTGATATCAATTATTATAATATAATTTTCGTAGGTTTATGGTTTTTTTTATAACTTTCATAACAGAGAACTAAGATAGCTCTACTAAATAGATTTCTTAAACTATCTGATTTATCAGTGAAAATACCACTAAAAAAGATATTAATGAATTCAATATTTTCAATACTATTTGTTAATAATTCTTAATTATGTAATAAGATAACAATGATTACAATAATACTATGTTCAATAATTTATCTATCTTCTTATTCTAATTCATTACTTTTAAGAAGTTCTTAAATTAAATTGATTAAGACAGTGATAAATTTTTCAATTTTTTCAGTGATACTATCACCTAATCGACTTTCTTTTAATTTTTATACAAGTAATTTAAATTCTTCAGGATCTTCTGATTATCTTATATCAATAAGTACTTAATCTAAGGGTTTAATGATTTGAATGGCTTTTGATGCTTAATAGAGATTAGATACATTAGTAGCACAAGCAGCAATAACATAATTTTAGAATGTTTTTAATAGAAATGATAAGATTTCTTTTTCAATTTATGGTAGTGTACTTACACTTCTACCTTGATATTATTTAAAGAATTGTAATAACTTATCAAATCCTCCAAGTTATAGAAACTTACTCATCCATTTATCTTTTAAGATAAGAATATCTTAATCTTCTATTAAAGCTTATAAATGATTAGAATCATATTAATTCATAAGAAATTCAATAATATATAGACTATATAGCAATCTGTAATGACTACTAACAAGTATTTAATCCCAATCAGTAGGTGATTGAATGTTTTCAAAAGTAAGCATTTACTTAATCAATTAAGGTGATGGAGGCAATCTTCTTAAAAGATACCAAGTTTTTTCTTAAACTTCATTAGTTGAATTTTATAATAATTCAAATAGTAAATCTAAATATCTTTGACTTTAAACAATCTATCCTCGAGGTAATAATTGAGCATTTACATAAGGTAAAGGTACTCTATCTCCTCTAATGAGATCATTCCGATAATGTAAAGTCTAAAGATTGAGCCAAACAGTTGTTCTTTTAGTTCTTGCAGAATCAGTATAGAAATCAAGGAAATCATTCAAAGTCAAAATAGAATCTTTATCTTTATCATATTATTCAAATGTTCTTTAAATATTAGCATCATCGATACTACAAGGATTACCTGTACATCCAGTTACAAATCTTGTACAATCTTCTTTACTCATTTTACCATCTGTAGAATATTCACTAAATATCTCTCCAAATACTTATTTAGCTGGTTCAGATAATTCATCTCCATCTAATAGATTAACTTCATGTATATCTTTCACTTATTTTCTAAATACCATAATGATTTCTCCCTTCTTCAATCTTAAGTCTTTAATCATCTTCCCATTCTCAGTGAATTTTATTTCTCCTTTTAAACTATTCAAACCAATTGAATCCCATTACTATTTTATTACTTTACTAATAGCCTATCTTAATTCTATTATTGTTTAATTATCATTTATCCTTATTGTAAATTTCTTTTAATTTCCATGTTCATGAGAAACCTAAATTTATAATTCCTCTCCTTATGATAATGCATTCAAACTCTTTAAATTACCTACTCCATTTATTTCACTTTGATCTATAAATCCCTCCAATACTAATAAACATCTATACAATTTTTAATTATTATTTCTATTCTCTTGTAATTTATTAAATAACACTTCTAATGTACTCTCAAATTACAGATAATAATCTATTGCTAATTAAGATACCCTCTCATTTTCTGTTTCCAATATCATTTACCATAAAATATCAAGACCAAAACTATTATCTTCTTATTTATTTATTGCCGTCAATACTGTTTTAAAACAATTAAATCCTTCCTCTGTCAACTATATTAAATCCTTAGTCATCTTCTCTTAAAAAAAGGTCTTCAAATCTGATATTGCAACCATTGATGTTAATTATGATTAACCATCTTAATTTGATAATGCACTAAACCACTTATAAACCAAATCCCTTTCTTACTAATTTGATGATTAACAAACTAATTGATCCCATATACTTGAAATTATCTTAAATGTTAATCTATATTCATATGTATTTATATTCAAATAAAAGAACTATATAAATTGCATCCTAATCTTAATCTCTTCTAAATAATCCTTCTATTTCTTTAATTCAGGAATTGATTTTATTATCTCCTTAACTATTTTAAATTTACTTTCCAATTCTGTTAATGCCCAATTTCGAGTGTATTATTCACAAGCACTTGGTTAAACATCCAATTTCTCTATCAATTTTATTAATACTCTAAATCCTACATTCACTTATTCTCCATTTGCAATACTCTCACCTATCATATTGATCTATTTGCCTTTATGAGGTCTCATTTCATATTGAGTTACTTAATCAATATAATATGATATATATTATTCTAACATTATCTAATTCAATTATCCACTCTTTAGTACTCCCCAATAATAATTACAACATTTCTAAACGTATTCATCTTTATATCTATAATTTGTCTTAATTATATCAAGTAACAATTCCAAATCATCTTTTGTTACTTCTTTTGCATCCTTATTACAAATTGCATCTATTAAAACATCTAACCATTCCTTCTCTAAGGAATTAGAAACATCCTTAAATAATTTAAAGATTGCTAACTTATGTTCATATTCAGCTTTCTCTAAACTATTCCAAATCTCTTTTAAATTATTAATACTAATCATCTTCTCCTCTATTAAAAATCTAAAAAACTCTGCACTCCTTTAAACTAAATGAGAATTCCCAGATCCAACATATAGAGTCTCAAAAATCTTTTTCTCATTTAACCATTCCAATATCATTTAGATAGCTGCTTACTTTTACCATTCCTATATTCCATATTAATTATATTAATCTTTTGTTTTTTTTATCAACTCTTAAATTGCTTTTAAACCTTGAATCTTTCTCTCTAAAAAATCACTAGTAAAACATTTATATGCTATATCTAAATCCAATCTATCAATCATTTCCTACCTTTTCTATAATGGATGTACTCGTTTCAATAGATTACTCAAGGCTTATAAAATATCAATAATCTTTTAAGATGAAAAATTTCTCAGATTGTTATCAGGAGATGACAATATATTATTTTAGACTGCATCAAATAATTAGGGAATGTAAGTTTAAACAAATTATCGATGAAGTAATTCTTAGAAATTATAAATAACTACCACATAACTATGTAAGAAGTCTATAGTGCATTTATTTTGAATTTAATCTAAAATATATGAGAATAAACCAGCACGACCAAATTCATTAATCATTTCACAAACAACCGCAGATTTTCTGGTATATTTGGTTTAAAATCTAGGTACAGCATAATATTAATTTGGAAAAAGAAAGTCATTACAATCATTAACAATCTCTTCTTAACAATGAGGTGTATATGATTATCCTCTTGAAAATTTATTTCTTTTTTAAATTCTTGGACTGACAGCCTTAATGCTCTCATCATATTATTAATTCCAACCAAAGAATCTCCTATTTTATGAATCATATTAATTGCCTTTTTCATCATATACTCTGAATCCTATTACATATTCTTTATTTTCATCATTCAATGCAGAAATAATAGTTGCATTCTACCATAAACGATTATCAAAACAATCAATAATATCTCCAACATTAAGACAATGACGCCATTCCCATTCATCATCTGTTACTTAACTTTTAAATGGTGCTAAATCCATAGAATAACGAACAATTTTATCTGTCTCATCATTTTCATGCCATTTAACCCAAACATATTTATCATTCATTTTTTAAATATTTGCTCTACACCATCCAATCACATTCCCTTTCTCCTCTTCATATAATGCATCTACATCTTAGCCTTCCTAAAGATTATCACAAAATTCTTATTATGTGAATTCCTAATGCGAAAACTAAAATCTTTTTGCATTCTATTACCTGGTCTTCATCCATTTATACTAATTCATGACATTTGTAAAAAATTTTATCTGGATCAATTATAAATCGAATCATCTCCCATGCCTTCAATTGATCCCGATTATTTAAACATACCTTCACTATCTCCATTAAGATTTTATTCGCAAACTATTCATAATAAGATGATATATACTTTCCAATACATCATATATTGTCTGAATTCAACTATATTCTTAGCACATTGATACAATAAATCCAATCCAACAGGATTTTGGATTTATTGCCACACTATCTCTAAATCTTACTAAGATCTACTATTACTATATTGATCTTACTCTTATTAAGACTATCCAATTCTCTTTATCGCTTCCTTCAATTCTTCTGTATTCATTTAATTAAATATCACCGATTATAATAACAAATACGCACAAATAAATATATGTGTATCATTACAATTCAAACAATCCTAATTTAAAATCATACAATCCTTATAAAAAATCAATAACATTTAAACATATATTAATATCACATCATATTGTACATATATTAGTTCTTTATTAATTTATATTATTTTATCATCTGTCTTAATGTAATTTGATATTCAAAAACAACCATTCCAATATCAAAAAAATTCTTCTCCCAAATTTTTTCATTCTTATCAATTCTTACCTAGTAAAATTATTAAATAGTAATTCGTCCAAAATTCATTATTTTCTCCTCAAATTTCTATCTAACATATAAATACCATCACATAATCTATTATCAACTATTCATATTGATCTAGAATACAGGAATTCTTAAATAAACTGATCTCATAGAACATATAAAATTAATTTAAATATGGGAATATGTTCAGCTAAACAATAAACTAATCTAAAAAATAAAGAACATAATGAATAATTAACAAAATGCTCTCCTCATAATGAATAAAGTTAAGAAATTCAAAGACTCGTAAATTCTGAAAGAACAATTAAAACTATTAAACCTATTGCTAATTCACCAAATCAAATAAAGTCTAAGTTTGCTGCTACTCCATCTACTCGTATACCTAAACATATAATTTGGGCAGATCAAATTGTAGAAAATGTAGGACATCTTGGAACTCTCCAAACTTGGATATCTTTAAAAAATGTCCAATTCTCAAAATACTATACTATGCTTAATAAAGATCAATTTCATTGCAGAATTAAATTAAATGATTAAATTGTTATAGTCTAACATAATCTTAGTGGAAGAATTCTGTTAGCTGAAATGATAAAAAAATCCCAACAAGGAAATTAATTCATTGAGTCCATTGTATTAAATTAATTAGTATTAAAATTTATTTATATCTTTAGAACCATCCTAATTTAATTAGAATTTTCGAAATATTTTAGGATAGTAATAATTATCAAATAATTCATGATTTCTGCAACGGAACTATCCTATCCTAAAATCTACATATTTCTGTATATACTCAAAAATAAGCTGCTCTTCTCTTAAAATAAATAATTGAAATTGTTAAACATCTTCACCAATAAAATGTAAATCATGGAGGATTAACACTTTCTTCTTTTTAAATGCTTAATCAATCAAATTCTAATTTTATTAAATTAGTCGATTTTAAACCTATTTACTTAAAATCTTATATTTCAGAAAAAGAAATTTATTAATATATGTCACCTGAAGCTATTAAATTTCCTGAATTTTATACATTTGAAAGAGATGTTTGGAGTATTGGAATTATACTCTTTTAAATGTTAACTGGTGAGGTTCCATTTAAAGGAAAAAATAAAGATGAAATATTAGACAATATTAAGAATTATTCTCTTTAAGAAGATTTTAATAATAAATCTTTACCATTTGAATCTGTTGATTTATTAAAAAAATTCTTAAAAGTTGATCCTACCAAAAGAATAAAATTAAATTAAGCTTTAAATGAAGATTGGTTTAAAAAATATACTGAGACTGAATATGAAGAAGAGAAATTAATTGTATAACAATTAGATAATAATCATACTTTAAATTTTCTTTAATGTTGTTTTTTATAGTTTATGATTTCTACTTATTCAGCAGATTAAGAATAATTTTTTTATTAACTTTTTGGGTAATTTGATGTTAATCATGATGGCAAGATTAGTAAATAAGATCTCACAATTGCTTACATGAAACATTTTTCTAATATTAAAGATGTGAAAGAGCATGTAGATGCTCTATTTAAGGGTATTGATATTAATAAAAATGGTGAAATTGATTTCTAAGAATTCCTCATTGGAGCCATTAACAAACAAACTTTAATAACTGAATTAAATTTAAAAGGGGCATATAAGCTTCTTTCAGATGTAGATGGATTTATTACATTAACAAAAATGTGTTCCTTATATCACAATAAGAGATCATCGTTGAAATAGTAATTTTCTTTCTATGAAAATAATTAGGTAATAATTATTAACTCTAATATTTAGATTAATTTTAAGGAATTCCAAGAGTTAATGTTTCGTGCTCTTTGAAAAAAAAATTTACTTTTCATATCAGTTTATAATTAATATTTTTTTTTAATTATGAATCAATTAAGATCATTTATATAGAGTAGCGAAAATGAAGATTTTAAATATCTTACTGAATGTAAAAGAATAATTAAAACTGGAAAGCAAGAAGAATTTGAGGAACTGTGTATTTCTATAAAACAATTCTTAGTTAATGATTTGTAAAGACATGTTTCATAATTTTCTATTCTAAACGTATAAATAGATGTTTATAATTAGCTTTGTTAATTATTAACAAAAGAAAATAATCAAGAATTTAATTATGAGCACTTCTAAAAAATAGTTTTGCCAGTTATTGTGTAGTACATTTTCATTAATCAAATGTACTCAAAAGAACTTCCGCCTAAAACCTAATAATATATTAAATCTTCTATTACAATTTCTGAAGAACTTTTGGGTTATTGGGCACATGTATTCCCTTAAACATAAAATTTATAAATTTCTTAATTTTTAATAGAGTATTAATTGTTTAAAAAAAAACAATAGGAAAAAGGTATGCCTATTTTAAAAAAAAAAAAATACGAATATTTGAAAGACACAATTGATAAAACACATCCTAATTATAAAGAGATTAAATAATAGTGGAAAAGATCTTAAGCTGAAGATATGTTAAGGAAAAATAACGAATTTGAGAAGGATTAAAATGATATTTAAACAATAGATAATTATGAATAACCAAAATAAGAGTAAATTCATCCCTAAAAGCAAGAATAATTATCTGAAATCGACTAATAAATTATTAATAAAAAATAAGAATAAGATTAATTAATTCAAGAAATAGAAAAACTGAAAGTTTTAAAAGAGACCCTCTCGTCAGACGTAAAACTTATGTAACAAATATAATAATAAAATTCCACTATGAATTATTCTAAAATGAATGGAACAAAATCAACAAATGTATCAGAAACAATCACTAGTTGCTTTATATAAGGAAAATTAATATTTGATGAAGAATTTTAAGTAGATAATCAAAAAAACTATATGACAAAATCAAGTGGAAAGTATCCTCTTTGTATAATTGATACATCGTATCCTGAAAAAAAAAAAAGATTATTAGATGGAAGAGGACTTTTTCATATTGGTGAAGGTTATTAATTGGCAAGAGATTTTAAATTAAATTAAAATACAATTGATATAGCTATATATTTGATATGTGTTAAAAAAAGGATTTCAGATTTACGTGTATGGATTTTACCTAAATGTAATTTTAGCATTTATCATAGATGAAATTTTTAGTAATCACCATCTAAATAAAAACTTGGCTGTTGGGAAATAAGTATTATTTGAAATTAGAAATATTCCAAAATAATAGCTTATTCATGAGGATATCAAGATCGATATTGTTATTGACAGTATTGAAATAATGAGAGAAGAAGTTTCATTTTAATTGAAAATCACAAATATTATTAATTACTAACACATGATTGAAGAAGACTTGATAAAAGAATACTAAGAAATTAAAAAAGTATTATGCTCAAAAGATTTCCTTTTCGATTCTGAGGTATTTCCAAATGGATTAGCAGATGTATAAAAATGTATACAGCATTCTATTATTTATAAAAATTAAAGACAACTACTTGTATCAGGAAATATAAACGATTAACAATTTATATTCAGAGTAATAATTTCCTGAATATATAAGATTATTTTAGATCAATAAGGGAATGCTGAAGTTAATTTAAAGGGGCTAGAATGTAATGATGAAATAACGAACAGATTAATACAAACTTATATTGATGTCTTACAAAAAAATGAATGATTATGTGGTATAAAATTATAATAATCAATTTCTTTTTTTACTCATCCATCCAGGAGAATTATTAATATTATAATTATAAGTTATGTTATTATACACAATGTTTAAATTCCTATCTTAATCTTCTAGAGTATTTCTGTACTCTCCAATATTGTAGTTGTATTACTATTATTATTATTATTATTATTATTATTATTTTTATCCTTTTTGTATATTTAATAGTTCTTTTGATTAATAAACCTCTTATTCATCTCCAGAATATTCATCAGTAGGATAAAAGTTTTATCTGAGTTAAGTAGATTTCTTTTTTACTTAATAAGCTGGAATTTATTGTTAATATTATTATTATTATTATTGTTATTATTATTATTATTATTATTCTTTTCTTTTTAATTTTATGATAGTAATTTAATCATCTTCATTAATTTCAGGATTAAATGATTTTTTTTTAGCTCTAATTCTAAGATTCATAGATTTTTTTTCAGCTTCAGTTGAATTATTTAAATCATTTTCTGGTATTTCATAATTATAATTTTAACCCATTTTATTTTATAAAAAATTATCGAATTAACCTTCTTAATATCCAATGATTATATTTTTTTATAAGAAACCTAATTATGAATTAACATCTTTTTTAGGCATAGATTTAGATTCTTAAGAAGGCTAATTATTAGGATTACAATCAACTGTATTTTTATCTCCTGTTTTGATAGGTGCAGGTTTAATAAAATTATTGACTCTTTCTACAGAAACATTATTATTTCCTTTCTATTATGTTTTTCTAATAAGAATAATAAAAAAGTACGTACCTTTCATTTGATTTATCAGCTCTTTTATTATTGCTAATTAAGTTATCTTTTTGTTATGAAAATATTTATTATTATTATTATAAAGATATTTATTATTATTATTGATTAATTTATTGAGATTATTTTGCAGTCTATTTATTAGCAGATTAAATTCGATCTTTTGGTATTTATTCTTTATCTCTTAATTCTTTTAAAAAAGAATAATATTAATCATCTCTCATACCATCAAAGTAAGGATGTTCTAAAGCCTCAATTGTAGTCATTCTTTTATTAGGATCCATTTTCAATAAACCTTTAAGAAATGAAATGGCTTTTAATGAAAGCTTAGATTAGAACTTTTTTTCAATAGTATCTGGTTTAGTAATTTCATGAAATTTCATTCCAACATAACGAGGATTTTTAAGAAATGCCTCTTTTTATTCAGTAGTTAAAGGACCTAATAACTAAGAAATACAGAGTAATTTAAACTTTACAAATCAAATATAATTAATCCATTTCAGTTTAGCCTTAAAATAATGGTTACCCATCAGTCAATTCAGCCATTATACATCCAATAGCCCATATATCAACACCTTTTCCATATTCATCTCCCAATAATAGTTCTGGGGCTCTATACCATCTTGTTGCAACATAATCAGTCAATTATCCTTATTTTTATGGTATCAATCTTGCAAAACCAAAATCACAAACTTTTAAAACCATCTAATCACTTACTAAAAGGTTTTCAGGTTTAATATCTCTATGCAAAATTTCAAGTGAATGACAATATGCAATAGCTAAACATAATTGATAAATAAATCTTCTTGCTAATTCAGACTAAAATGATTATTCAATTTTACATCTAAACCATTAGATTTCTCTTCAAGTAATTCTAATAAGTTTTTTTCAACATATTCTAATACAACATAAAGTTTGCCTTTTCTATAAATGTATTATAAATAATTACCTTCTAAATGCCTCTTTTATTTTAACAATATTATCATGATTAAGCATCTTTAAAACTTTAACCTCTCTTAAGATTGTTTTTTTAATACTTTCATCTTCTTCTGAACCAATATATTATTTTATAGCTACTATCTAAATTATTAATATATTCTACCTCTCCTGTTTCTTTATTTTAACCTTTAAGTACAACTCCATAAGAACCCTTACCTATGATGCCAAGAACTTCGTATTTTTACATAAAAATAGATTTTATATATATATAAATATATATTTGAATAATTATACTTATCAACTGACAAGTGAATCAGTGTGAAATCTTTTATTCTAATTACGTTATCCTCTTTAAGATTATGTATGTTAATGAATATTTCTAGTTTTTGATAAAAATCCTGGAACCCATATCTTAGTTGATCCTAGAAATTCATCATCTAAAGTTGGATGAAGCATTTTTCTAACATTTGTTTAACTCATCCTTTTATTTTCAATTTCTTAAGTTTCATAATCCTCTTTTTCAACACTATTTGGAGTTTTAGGATTTGAACTTTTTTTAGAATTGAATCTTCTATTAATATTGGCTGTTGTAACTAAACGTTAAAAAGGTAAAGGCTTTTTTGGTGACTCTTCTTATAAATCTTTCATTTATTAATCATCATCACCTCCAACATTTATCTAACTCTATTATCTTAAAAATTAAGCCTTTTTAACTTAAAATGATTTTCTTCTTGTCACTTTATAATTCTTCTCTTAAATATTATTTTGCTATACAAAACTATATTAATAAATTAATACTCTGGTAATCTATCCTTCTTAACTGAAAATCCAACATGAAAAATCTTATCTCTTTCAGTCTCTTAAATAGCAGTATTCAACAATTTTCGATATTCTAACATAAAATTCTTTTATTATTTTTTCAATAAATCTTCTGGATTTAAATTACTCATCTTTTTTTTTTATTAAAACACTATCTCAATATTGTCTAATCCTTTATTTCCTGAAAAGTACTTCTCATTTGTAATACTAATAAGATTATAATTATTATTGAATCTAATTAATTTCACAGCATTATCAATAAAATTCTACAATATTTTAACGGTATCTTTTTATTTTGGATCTAATTCAAACATAGTTGCTATAATATTATCACTTTCAATTATTAAAGGTCCTCTTAAATTATGCTCTGCTAATGAATTAAATTTCTATTTTAATTTTTAATAAATACTTTATCTGGATTGGTAAATGTAATTGCATGAATATCCCATTAATTATAAGATGTTATCGCAAATTCCATTGTAACACCTCTAAATAACCAATGATGTAAGAATTATTTTTTAATTTAACATGTCATCTCACTTTGATTTGCCAACATATTCTATTTAGGTTTATATGTTGGTGATTTAACAATATATTTACCAATCGATTAATACTCCATAGCATCTCTTCTATTGTGTAATCCTATATTAGCTTTTGGTAACCATTCATCTGTAACTTTACTATATAAATAAAGATCTCCTGTCGTAGAATCTAAAAAATATTCACTTGGACCATTCTTAAATGCTTACAATGTATATTTTGGAAAATCTACTAATTTACAACCTTCTCCATGATTATTAGTGATAGAAGCATGCTTATACTGTAAATAAATTAATTACCACTGAGAAATTTGTAGAACATAGATAAGCAATAGCTTAAGCACCAAATGAAGTAGAAAATAATAATTTTTTAGTCTTCAAACACATTCTAATTAATGTAATTATCTTAAATCTTAAATTATATTTTTATACCTTTCTCATATTTGGATTCCAAGGTCTTGAATTAGAAGATGCTAATATGAATACTATATCAACTGAATTGAACTTTTAACCATATTCCATTCTTATTAAACTAGTTTCTGGTTCATAAAGGAAATCATCTAAAGAATGTCTATCTCTAAAATGATATTCACATTCAGTATCTGCTACTTCTCTCTATTTCGATATCATCTAAATAAAATATAATAAAATACATTCTAAATACTATTCCTAAAATAATCAAACACTTTAGCACAAGATGTAGATGCATTGAATCCATTTACAATTAGAAATCTCATTATTATATTTTATTTATTTACAATATAAATGAAACAACAGCAACCCTATTTCATTAGACCTCCTAATCTTTCCTCTCGTCACTCTACAAATAAGATAAGTTTTCTAAATAAAGAAGATACCCCTTCAAACAGTTAAGGAGTTCGAAGAAAAACACCCATCATTGCCTAACCATTACATTCACCAACACAATTCAAAGACTTGTAATTCTATTATATTTATAAAAGACATCGTATATATCCAACAAAACGTATTCCAACACTTAATTCACCATTACATGATGGATCTATTTCAAAATATAAAATTATAAACGATTTATCAGTTTACAAATTACCAACAACTAGAAGAATCAAATCTGATGATTAAACATCAAAAGTAATTCCTACCAAAAAACAGTAGAGTTAGCATATCAATAATATTAAGCTACGAACTGATAGAAGAAAAAATTTTACTCCTTTAATTAAAATGAAAACAGAACCTAATGAAATTCCAACACATTCCATTTCTAAATAAGATGAATCTTAAGATATTTTATTTCGTCTTCATAAATAATCAATTCCATCTGAACCAAAAGATAAATTTGCATCTATCTTAGGAGATAAAATTGTTTCTGGCATCAAAAAAATTGAAAAGAAAACTGAAAATTTTATAGAACTAGAATAAGATAGTTAATTCTTTTTAGAAACAAAAGAAAATAAAAAAAATAAAGAAACTCCTGTTTTGACTTAATAAACTAAAGAAAGAATTTTAGATTTATTATGTTTATCTACATAAGATTTAAAAAAAAAGTTTGCTGAATAAAACAAAGTAGGCAATTCTAAGATTAATGCAAGATAGCCTAACAAATTAGTCATTCCAAAAACTGGCAAATCTAAATTTCCGTTAGACTTTTTTAATGCTCTCTTACCAAATTCAATTCTTAATTGATTTTTTTTATTTAGTATCACATCTGTTTTAATTTATTATTAATTAATCAAATTTTACTTATATTTAAATATTCAATTTTTATTTATAGAAAGATTTATTATTTTATTAAATTATTTATATTATATTTCTAAAATATTTATTCATAATCATAAACTTTTACCATCTCCTAATATCTATGCATATCCATTTAATATTTTTTCTAATATTTATCTTTTAGAATTGAATTTTGATTCAAATGTTAGATAAATACAAATTTTATCATTAGGTAAAATTTCAAACTAAATTTTAATAATATTTTTATACTTTTATCAAGAATGAAATATCTTAAAAATTGCCTAATCCTCCAAATTTTATTTCATCTATCCCCAATTCAAAATCATTTATTTTATTACTATTTAATTTTATTAATTTTGGTATATGCTTTTCAAAATTTTTATAACTTTTCATTACTCCTTTATTTAGAATAAGCAATGGTGTTCTAATTAAATTTGATTAATATTAATTCCATTTACTCTTAAACTCATTTACTTTTATTTCTCTATAAATTATTTATTAACAAATATGGTTCGGAATGTAAACTTAGAATGGGTGATTTTAAGAATGAGAAACTTACAATATCAAAATTTATAAAGGTATCTTATTCTATCCCACAGCAATCTCTATTAAATCATTCGAATCACCATCTAAAGTTTTTGAAATACCCAAAGGCTTAGCCCAAAATTGTTATAATTCTTATATATTATTTTAATTTTACTTTCAAATTCCATGAATTAAATTACAAAATCATACTTCACTTCTTAGTTATTTATTATATAGAGTCCATAAGTAAAAAAAGGTTTGCTCTATGAACCTTAAGTTTAATAAGATAATCCAAACTATAATCCATTTTCTTCAAATAGAATTCCTTTAGATCCTAAACACCTCTATTTGAAATTATCTATATTTTCTTAATTTAAATGAGAGATTTCATCAATATTTTAAGTTGATTATATTACTTTACCTTTTCTCTATTTTGGTGGTTTATTATTAAAATAATCTTCAGGACTATTATATGGAAAAATTAATTCCAAACATTCAGGATTAACATTTTTAGATTTTTAAGGCAATTCTTCAGGATAGAATTTTTGATTAGCTGGAAAATTCTTAAATACTGCTATCGGACATTATTAAGGAGCTTAAAATATTCTTTAATTATTAAAACCTGCATTTACCTCCTATTACAATTTTGTAGCATCTACTTTTACTTCAGAAATCTCAAATTGCTAATATTATTAATTATTTTATTATTATTAAATTGATTCAAGTTCAGATGCTTAAGATTTTGAATGATTTTTTGATAATACTTTTTATTTAGTTTAAGTTTATTTTTATATAGCCTCCGCTTATGCAATATTTAATTATTATACTTATTATTGTAATTCAAATACATCTTTTTATAATTTTTATCTCTCTTATGTAACATCTTCTAATCTTTATTTATAATAATCATCTTTCTCTCTCATAGCAATTTTATGATCTTCTTTAAGTTTATCTATTTCATCAAGTTTTTATTATAATTTTTACTATAATAATGTTGAACTTCTATTATCCATATTTTTTTGAATGAATTAATCAATTTATTATTAAGCAGTTTCTAGATTTCTTTTTAATTACTCATTTTCTTTTCTAAGTGCTTAATAATTTTATTATAATTATTTATTTTCTGCTTCTTTATCACTTAATTACAATTAAATTGTGTTTAATTATTATTTAGAATTCAAACTTTCTTTTCTAGCATCTGTTACTTATTATAAAAGTTGTTCACCCTGCTTTTTTTAATTTTCTTAAAGGTTTAAATAATCTTATGAACTTTTTTCCAATTAGGTTTTATAAATATTCAATTACTTATTAAGAGTTTCTTAAAAACTTTATTATTCTTGAAGTAGTAATCTATTTTAATCAATTTCTTCTTATTATCTTTATTAGATTAATAATTTCTCTTATTTTAAATTTTCAATTTCTCTTTTTTATTAAGCAATCAATTATTCATTTTAAGCTTACTTATCTTAAAGTTCAAAATGATTTGTTGATTATTATTTTAATTAATCTAATTATCTTATTAATGCTTATTTTTCTGAAAATAATTGTTATCTTTCAATCTTGTAATTATTTAATTCTAAATCACTTGAATCTCTTTATTATTATTTCATTCTTTCAGCATTTATTTTATACTCTTCAAATTATTATTTAGTTTAAGTTAATTAATTTTAAATTAATTTTTTTTCTTGTTATTATAAATCAAATCTCTTTTAAAGATTTTTCAAATCTTCTTATAATCTATTTCCACCTCCATTTATAGAATATACATCTTCTTATAATTATTGATTTTTTTTTTCTGCTTCTTCTAATTGTTTTTACATTTATTATTTGTCTCTTAATAAATTTTCAACTTATTGTTATAGAAGATCCAATTAACTTTTATCAAGCTAATTTATTTATGGTTAATTTTCTCTAATCATATCAGGAGCTCCACTTAAATCACCTTTTATTTTCAACTATTATGGTTAAAGATTTCTTCCTTAACTGGATTAACTTATTGGTTTACGAATTCTATTTTAAATTTAAGATCCATCTAAAGGTTGTGAAAATTTAGAAGTTTAAACATTTATATTAGATGTTCCAACTAATTCTTAAGCCTTAAATTAATCATTTAATGAAATCTGATTTTATTAATAATTTCCATATTAATCTTCAATAATCTTTTATTATAATTCTTCTAAATTATTTTTACTAAATTCCTCCTATTGTTATTTGAAAATCCTTTCTTATTCTTTTTCTCTTTACTCTTTATCTCTTTACTCTTTTTCTCTTTATTATTTTTCCCTATATTCTTTTTCTCTTTATTCTTTATCTCTTTACTCTTTTTCTCTTTATTCTTTATCTCTTTACTCTTTTTCTCTTTATTATTTTTCTCTTTACTCTTTTTCCCTATATTCTTTTTCTCTTTATTCTTTTTCCCTATATTCTTTTTCTCTTTACTCTTTTTCTCTTTATTCTTTTTCTCTTTATTCTTTTTCCCTATATTCTTTTTCTCTTTACTCTTTATCTCTTTATTCTTTTTCTCTTTATTCTTTTTCCTTATGTTCTTTTTCTCTTTATTCTTTTTCTTTCTACTCCTTTTCTATTTATTCTTTTTCCTTTTATTCTTATTCATCTTTTTATTTTAAAAACTTAATTTCCTCTTCTTTTCTTTATTTTTCGAATAAGTCCTCTTATTATTTTTTTTATCTTTCTTCTTCTTCCTATTATTTTAATCTTTCTTATTATCTTTGACGTTCTTTTTACTCTTCTTCCAATCTTTTAATTTTTTCTAATTGTTCTTTTCTTTTTTTTTCTTCTTCTTCTTCCCTTTTTTTTTGTATATTTAATTATTCTTATCTTTTTTTTT